CACGGTTTGGAATGGGAGAATTTTGAGACGGAAGTACGGGAACTCCATTTGATGAGCCGCCCAGGTGCTTTTGTATCTGATACGCAGAAAATCGTCGAGACGCACGGCGCTCCAATTCACCGCTTCTCTGCAAAGCACCCAGTGCATCGTCCTGCTTTGGAGGAGGGGGCGGTGCGGGGTACGAGGCCGTAGTGGATGAAGCCACGGGAGCCTTCGAGGGTGTTGCGCTATCGGTGTGAGAGGATTGAGACAAGATACTCTGTGTCTCTCTTCTGGAGGCCTCGCGTTCGGAAAAGCTTGAGCCTCGCGCATCCGCTCCTATAGTTGATGATGTTCGCGCCGTGGCATCCTCCGCAGAGCCATTGCTTCCGTAGCGACGGGTTGATCGCTTCGGGGAGGTCACCGTAGACGCAGTTTCCTCATAAGCCTGGTTCATGGCCGCCTGTGTAGCTGCAGCACTTCCAGCACTTGCCTGTCGACCGGGCAAAGGTCTACTTTCCTCCTTTTGCTGCCGAGACCGTAAACGAGCTTGCTTCTTTTTGAGGCCATGTAGGAGATTGATGATGATGTCACGAATGCGGGGGAGGTAGCGATCGAGGGCTTGTGGAGATGCATCTTGACTAAGGGTATCTTCAAGGATGGTGCGGAGGAGGTCTGGTACAGGGCCAAGATCTGAGGTGTCGACTCCGATAGCGTTAAATGCGCGACAGGCCAGATTGAATTCGTAGCCCAACCGCACGTAGACATCGGAGACCTCGTTCTCCGATGCCTGTCGCCGGGACCATTGTGTCAAGGTTTCGAGCAGTTGTTTCGTGGCCACTAACAGATGCGTGACACTTTTCTCAATTTGGTTGATCTGTCTTTCGGGCTGACGGGGATCATCAGCACCACGAGGTCAGACCGGAACATTTGTGGAGCAACAATAAGGGGCGGTGACCAGCAGCGGCGCGACTTACCACTACAGTTTTCGAGGAGGACTGAGAACGTGTTGAGCTAGACGAGCTGCGGGGCGCAGAAGCCATAGTGGACTCGACGCTGCTTCCTGAACCGGAGGGGAAATGCTGGCCGGAGGGACTTCGCTGCTGGGAGCGAGAGGTGCTGGAGGTGGACTGCATGAGTGCAGCAGACAAGGAAGCTCCGAGGAGGCTCTGTTCAGGGCCAGCAGTGGTCAAGCCGGGAAATGTGCCGGTTTAAGTGCAACGAGCAGACGCAGGGAGCAAGGAAACGGGGAAGAGGACCCGAAAACTGTCTCAGAGGATTCGTGTAAGGGGAACGAGCGGAAAGACGGTCGGAAGTCGAATTTGGGAAACGAGACCCAAAAGAGGCCGTACAAAAAGAGAAAAAGGGAGAGGGGTCGAGAAAAGGAGGGAGAGGAGGCAGGATAGGAAGGATAGGAAGCACGAGTGCAGAACGAGTGTCTAAGGCAGGATAGATAAGTATAGCCAAGGAACCAGCCTCTTTCCCACAAGATGAGGGGTCCGGTGGTAGTTAGTTGGTGGTGGGAAGTTAGTGGTGATTTGAGGTGGTGGTGAATTTAGGTAGAACAGGCTAGTTCTAGTAGGTACCGTGAGACGGACTTAGGAGTGGATTAATTAGTAGTTAGTTAGTGCTCAGTCTAACTTAACAGTCTAATGAGGTGTTAGCCAGGCTGTGACTAGAGTGTAGATCTGACAGTCAGTTAGTCTAGTTAGTTGCCAGTGTGCTGTTGTTGTCTTTCAAGTTGTCTTTCTTGGGCACCAAATCAAGTTCCACACTTCACGACTTCAGCCCCCAAAATCCAAGTCAGTCAATCTCATCAATGATTGTCCAGTCGCTACGGCAAGTGCGCTGGTTAGCGCCGGGACTTTATGCCTCAGGCATTAAGTCCCCACTGCCCGATAGGCTCTCAGGTCACCTGCTCCACCAGCCTCCGGGATTTACCAGGCGCATTGCAGCAGCCCTGAGCTTCCCTTCCACCCCCACAGCTCAGCTGTGCTGATAAGGTCATTGAACAGGGTCTAGGATTGGCGTGTGGATAACTAACTTTCTTTACGTATATATCATCAGTGTACGGAGCTCTGTACCGCTTCCTCTTCATGCTGCCATATAAATGAACACCGCAGTATCACAGCATCTCCTTTCCACCTACTACACCGACCCGTGGGTGGAAAACACGATCTTAGACATACCATGCAGTCAAGTGCACTTCTGTGTCGTATTCACTAATGAGTCCCACCCGAGCCTTTAGCTTCGGGACCAGAATTTGTATCTTCTTCAAGTTTCAACCCTTTGCGAGGCCCATCACTTGCTGCAAATCGCCGATAAGTTAGTCAGTCGATGCCACTACCTGACTACCTAGTACGTACTTTCACTTTGCGAGCCTGACCAAATTTTGGAAGAGTTTTACCCTTGTCTGTTTCAACCTTTCTTACGTAAAGAGCCTGTACCTATTTTTAAACGCAACACAAGCCATACCTTAGTGCACCATAATCACTACTATATCAGTCAAAATCTCCGGCTGGGTCTCGCTCGACTGATAGACATCTAGATTCTGGGTAGCGCACAGCTCGTGATTTGTTTGCCGTCGCATGGTCTGACTTGACAGGATGTCGCATGGCCTAAATGACTACCTAGGTAGGTACTTCCAGTTGTCACCGTCTCTCAGTGAGGGTGGGAGGCACCTAGTAGTCCACGGTTCGTTCCCGCTACCCCCAACGGAAAGTGCTAACTAATTGGTCTACGGTGCTGTGATATTCTGGGCCTGTTTTGCAGCTCTGAAGCTCTCACACACCGATGTTCGAATGGCTAACTAGCACAAATGCTGTTTTCTCTGGGGATTCGGGTCAACATGGGATACCACCACTCATCAAATCAAGCGCCAGTCTACAGTCAGATGAAGGTCCGGTTTCGAGACCAGGGATTGACTTGTATGCGGATTGAACTGTCCTGTTGTAAGATTTGTCGGATGCGTTGGCCGTACGGTTAACCCTTGCTCGGGGACATCACCAGTAAAGACCCTTCAAGTCACAAGTTCTTCTGCGGAGATGAGAGCCGCCAACGCGGCTGCTGTTCAGCCGCGCTGACAGCACAGAGATCAGATGAAGCGTCTTGAAGGACGTGGACTCAGAATGAAGAGGTCCTAAGCAGCAAGGGGTCATTCCAGATCTCGGGGGTACTGGTCCGGCCAACATGTCCGTAATTGGTATAATTGTATAATTAGTGTACATAGTATTCCAACCTCCAGTGACGGTGGATCAAATGTGCTCGGGTGGATTATGACAGGCCGCAAGGGCCGAGTCCATTGGTGTTGGGGATTGGAGATTGGCAAACCGACGGAGGGAAAGGCATACCTTAGGCAAGTGGAGTGAGGCGACATGGTGCGTCTCAGTAGCGAGGTGGAACAGATGCACACACGCAGACGCATGTGCATCTCTGCATTCTGATTCCCTGGAGCGGACGCATAAAAGGAGAATCACTTTCTTTGTATCGTTTCTTGATAGGTAATCAAAAGATGGGCAGAAGACAGAATTTATCTAGAATACGACTCTGCTTACTGCTTTTTTATACTGGTTTCTACACTATGTAATAGGTGAAGGGAAAAGGTTGAGGATGAAGCATGACGGCACCACCACCAACACACTTGATTTAGATTGTGTACAGTACATACAGTACAGTAACTTAGTAAAGTATTGCGTACAGTGGAATCCATTCCGACCAACCAATCTTCATTAGACAAGGTAATCATCATTGTAATGGGGATGAGAACAACAGCAGCAGCAGCAGCACGAAGAATAATGTTAAGGTAATGGAAATGAGCATGGTGTCTTCCCCACCTACGCTTTTGCACCACCAACCAAGGGTCTCTGATGTCCACCCGGAATCACTGACAAGCTTAACTAACCCCGACCTTACCGTAATAATGTGGTTAGTGCAGTGTAAACCACCCGTACCCGTACCCGTTCCAGTTCCAGCTCCAGTTCCATCACCACACCTCTTTCTCTCTCTCTCTCCCTCTCCCTCTCTCTCTCTCTCTAATCTTGACGCCGACCTCTTCTGGCTTCTCTCCTCCCCTCCATACCCTCCCGCGCCCGCCTCCCCTCCCCCCAAAATATTATTGATCTCTCCTTCCTTCCCTCCTACTATCAATCCCCTCCGGTTGACAACCTCTCCTGACGACGTCTGTCTTGATCAAAGACGTTGTCTATTATTTTCTTTCTCTTTCTGTTATCGTCCTCCTCTGAACGTCTGTTCTTCCTTCGTCTTATTTCTCCCCCATAGTTTCTCTATTCTTTCTTCATCTCAATTCCACCACTCTCGTCAACTGTCGGTGGAATTCCAATTGGAGGTCCCGTGACTTGTCGCTGGCTCGCCTGGTCTGCTCTACGTCCTCTTCTTTCCACCCCCGCGCTCCTCTATCCTTTGCTTCTTCCTTCCACTCCATACCTCTATCGCCGTCCGTCTGGCACCGTTCGCGCAGGCGGTGTGTTACTGGCTTCGTGCCTTCCCGTCCCTCCAGTTTGCGACTTTACGTCGTGCGCCGACGTAGAGCTCTATCGTCACTTGGCGATCCAGCCAGATGGCTTCAACTGTCAACTCCGTGCCGGCCGCAAATAATGCATCCGGCAATGCCGTCAATGCGCAGAATCCCAGCGCTCGCCCTACACTGAGATCCAGCGCCAGTACCAAGGCGTCTGATGGAAACCGGCGTCAATCTGGTAGTCCGCTCGACGGTGGACAGAGGTATGTTTTGTTGTCCCGCTCATTGCTACCTGTTGCTTGCGGCCCTTTCCTCCGACCGACTCACCTCATTGCACCCTATTCACCGCTGGTCTTCTCCTATTCCCTTCTTGACTTCATGGTTCCTCCTAGAGAGCCTGAGTTCATGGACACTTGTCTCAATTGACGTTGCCTTGTCCCGCCTGTGCCTTTTTACGTCATCTTGCCCTTGGATACCCCAAAAATCATATCGGCTCGCTCCATCGTCAAATACAGCGCAGGAACTCTACTGTTCCTCATGACATAGGTCTAGACACATACTAACTTACAATTATCCTCTCAGACGCAGTAACTCCCAGAAGGCTTGGTCACAAGGCAACCCAATCACTCAGCGATCTTCATATGCGCAGCAGAACGGCAACATGCCCCAAAAGCAGCCAGCCTCGTCTAGAAATCCTTCCAAAGAGTCTAACACGCCTGATAACCATGCACATGATCGCCTTGTGTTCTTGCTCACCAGCTTTATTGTAAGCTTCATCCAGCCACGATGGTCGTTGGAATTACAGCTCAGAAGCTAACAACTATTAGGGGCTAACTGCGACTGTCACAACTAAAACTGGAGAGAAATACACCGGAGTCTTTTCGTCTGCGTCTCTAGAGCCCAACGAATCTTCGTTCCTTCTGAAGATGGTCCAACGACCTAATAAGCAGGAACAGCACAGAGCGAATGGAGTGAGTGAGGCTTCTAGCCCATTCATGGGATCTGCACCGGATCACAGCATGTCTTTTGATGTCAAAGATATAGTCGACATCTCAGTGTCTGATGTTTCCACCACTGATGTTCTTGCCAAGGCTCCGAACGGTACGTTTCTAGCCCCGCGTCGTCTTCATAAGCTGACAACCTTTCAGGTGCCTCCGTAGGCTTTAAGACTGATACTGACATCTCCGGCAACCTCGCAATTCGTGAGCGGACCCTGAAGCGCTGGGAGCCAGCAGCAGACACAGATGTGGATTTGTCCCTAGACGGCGCAAATGCCTCGTCCGGATGGGATCAATTCGAAGCGAACGCAAGACTTTTCGGCGCTACTAGTAGCTACGACGAGAATATTTACACGACCAGGATTGATCGCTCGGATCCTGCTTATAAGCTGAAGGAAGCAGAGGCTGCTCGGATCGCCCGCGAGATTGAAGGCACAAATACGGACAATGTCCATGTTCGTGAAGAGCGAGGTTTGGCGTCTGCGGATGACGGCGATGAAGAAGAGAAATACAGCGGTGTGCGCCGTGATGAGAAGGATTTCCCACCCCTTATCTCTGGACAGCCAAACAAGTACACCCCACCAGCCAGGAGGCAGAATGCCGCTCAATCCGCTGCTCTCCCCGCATCTGCAGCCCCTGCCCGGTCGACCCCCACCGTTCCGAAGGATGCTGCTACTGCGACGCCGAAGGAGACTGCTCCGGTCCAGGCCCAATCTACGCCATCCAGGGTCGCTCCAGCTCCCGCTCCCGTTGTTGAGGCGGAAAAGAAACCCGCGGCATCCAAACCTCAACCGGGCCCTGCTCTGCCCGCTGCCAGTAATGCTACTGCCAACGTTGAAGTTGAGGTGTTGGATTCTTTCCGTCGATTCGCCGATAATGAAAAAGCGAAGATGCAGGAACGTCGCCGTAACCAAGCCTCATACGACCGCACCATTAAACTCAACGAATTGATGAAGTTCTCTAAAAACTTCAAACTAGCTACCCCTGTTCCCAAAGACCTAGTGCCGATTCTTGCCAAAGATCCCCACAAACAGGAAGAGATCATCCAGCGAGCCCAGCAACATGCCGAGGAGAAAACAGCAACGAAAGCATCCCCAGAATCCACAGAACCGAAGCCAGTGACCCGCGCTCCTGCGGCTACTACCGCTCCCCCTCTGGCCCAGACCGACCGTTCCAACATCTCGCGCGGTCGCCAAATGTTCCCCCCAACCGGCCCCAATGGTGCCCCCGCGGGGCGACTACCCCAGCAGAACATGCATGCGGGCCGTCAAGCCACAGGAATGCTTGGCCACCGTCTAGCTGACAACTTGCAGCAGAGGAAGGGAGTTGCAACGGGAGTGATCCCTGCACCCTTGCCCATCAACGAGGTTCGCAGCCCGCCAAGTGGCCCTGCCAGTGATCACCCTACCGTCACCAGCCCGACCAAGGCGCAGACTCCGACTTCAGCGGTCTCAAGTAAATTCAATGTGAGAGCTATGGAGTTTAAGCCGAACCCTGCAGCGAACACGTTCACACCCGGCACCTCAAACATCTCATCTTCATTTGCTCGTGGACGCTCTGTCTCGCGGGCCACTAGCCCGTCCGCTTTCTTTGGTGCAAAGAAGCCACGCCCAATCTCAGAGCGACCCTCTCTTAACGAACACTTCAATCCTATCAAGCGCATGAAGAAGGAAAGCACAGAAAAGAGTGACAAAGACTACACGTTCAACGGTGGCATACCCCCTGCCTATAAAACACTGCCCACCTGGGATGTGCCTGCCGGCAACGAAGAGAAGACATATCTACAGATGTTCAAGCCCCCTGCCTCTGTGCCGGCTATCTCCCCCCAGAACCGTTCTGCGTCAAACTCGTCGATTCCACATCAACCACAGATGCCCTTCCAGTATCCGCAGTCCTCCCAGGGTATGCCCCCGACAACTGGCCCTCCTCACGGCCCTCATCTTCATCCCCAGCAGCATCATGGTTCGGGTCCACCCCATTTCGATGATCCCCATCGTATGCAGATGTCAGCGTCAACATCTCAAATATTCCCTTCTCCTCGTCTCCAGCATGGTTATCCTTCTCCTATGGCACCCCATGCTCAATTGGCGTTCGGACAGCCTATGCCACAGTTCTACGTCAACCAGGGCGGCCCGCAACCCGCTCATATGAGACACTATCCTGGCACTTCTCAATTCGTGAACCCGCAATCTGGCATGGGTGCACCCATTATGGTTCAGCAACCGTCCAGTGGGCCTTACATGGGCGTTCCTCAAGGTGTGGCTCCCTACACACCTCAGATGCAGATGTATTCGCCCAATCCTGGCCATGCTTATCCTCAACATGCACCACCTCCCCAGCCCCATAGTGGTTATCCTAGCCCTAGCCGCGGTGCCCCAATGATGATGCACCAGAATTCTCAACAGGGCCAGCCCCCACAGCCCGTCATGTTTATGTCTCCCGGACAGCATGGACAGCCAGTGCACCCTTCTCAGCAGCCAGGACACAGTATGTAATCGCCCAGCACGCTCTTCCAGTCACAGGCATGCTAACATTCGGCTGGCAGTGCCCCCGGTTCGAGGAAATTATCCCCAGCAGCAGCAAACCCATTTCCAGTCTAGTCCTCACCAAGTGCATCATTACCCTCCTCACCAACACCGAACCCCCAGTACCGGCTATAATCAGATGCCTCAAGGTCCACCTCAGGTGCCTGCTCAGCCTCCACAGGCTGCCTCGTCTGGTGCTCAACCCCAGGAAGCTGCAGACGAAGTGAAATGAATCTCTTCTTGATTTTGCAAGACTCTGAATCGCAGGCTTGGCAACCTATCGGGAGGGCTGTGTTGACCCTCGATGGGCATTACTCGACTCCACTTAGCCGTGAACAAGATCAACTCACAGTTGGCGACTCCACCTCCGTGCCGACACACACCTCAGTGTTTCTCGAATCTATCAGTACCATGTTACCTTCGCGCCTAGCTCTTCGCTTATTGAAGACGCATATAGTTCCAGGCGAGCGGATTGCTATTACATTTTGGTGCGTTCATCTTTGGTCCTGGATCTTCGTGTGCGGCTCAGACTAATTGCAGTAGACGACTCGTCAGTCTTATATTGAGTCCCTCGGCCGCGCCAGGCTCGAGTGCCCGAGAGATTTGCCAGAGAATTGGCTACAGGGTGAACGATAGCGGTTCTCTCGGGATGGTGTGGGGAGAGCCATGAGCGTGACGCAGATCGTGGCCATCCTACACGGACCTACACGTAGGTTGTTGGAAGTGATCTTGGATCCGACCATACCATTTGTGAGGAACTGTTCAAGTCATTGCTTTATGGCAATGGTGTTCTGGGGGGTCTATTCGTTTTCTCATTTTTGTCTGCTTATTAGGTTTCAGTTACCATTTTTTCGCGCGAGGGATGGAAGATTGGACAAGTGCATGTGGAAGAATGCGGTGGCATGAAGGGTGATTTGTCAGTGGAAGCTATTGATGATGTAGTTCGGCACGAGCATGATGGAAGGGGGCTGAGGTCATAACGGGGAAGAGGTTTGCATGGAAGATACGGATATGAAGGAAGAGAGGGAGAAATCTGAGGAGTGATTTGCTAGTAACTTCAAAAACAATGGAACTTTCAATCTGATTAGCCAATAGTCTATGTCAGTAAGTTGCGCGTGTTGCGCCTCAGCACACCACAGGACAATGACAGATATCAGGGGAATGTGCAATCTCCTCAGGTCTTTTCAGTTTATAAATTCGGTCGTCATTCAATCCACCTCGACCAACCGACACCATCAACTACCACCACCACCACCGCAGTATTTCCATCCTTTTCGCCCATGATCCATAACCTCCCCATTCATCCTAACGAACCTCATACACCACCAAGTCCCCAGAGCACCTCGATTCCACAGCAAACCACATATACCAAGCCCCATGAGAACCCACAGCCACCCTTCAACACACCCCAATCCCCGCTCCCCAACCTCCTTCCCCATATACCACATACTATGTACCATACGGCATACAGTAGAAGTATCCCCCGAGCCCCATCCCACCCCATAACCCCACCATTCCCGCCCTTCTCTTCCTCTCACACCGCACCCATTCACATCACAGCAGTTACTACCGAATCCCACAAACCTCACACTTTTCCACCCCCCTCTCCCAGTTTTCCCCGGGGTTATCGCCGTCAGAACTCACGTCCCCAATCGTTCATGAGTCAGACGAGATACAACGGGATCAAAGGGGATAGGGGCTATAAAAGAGACGAGGCAAATGTCCGCCGCAGCCTTATAGTTTCTGAAAAAAGTTCCTCATGGAAAGTGAAGCGGAACCAGAAACCCCAAATTGCGGCGTGTTTTGCTATACACATGTCCTGTTTTTTCCAAGGGGGGCCAGAGGTTTTGTATGGGTTTTTGACAAGACCTTGGTATTTTTAGGGGTTGGAAGGACATGGGTCTGCTTTTTTGTGTTGTGAAGGGCAAAGGGAGAGGTGGGGAGAAGGGAGGAGATGGGAGAGAGGAGGGGATGGGGGGAGAGGGGTTGGGGAATGAGGATGAAGGAGGATGATGTGGGGTGATATCAGGAAGGCTATGGGGAGGTTTGGGGTGGGTGGGATTCGTAGGTTTCGTGTGGATCTGGTGGTGGGAAGTTCGTGGGATGGCATGGAGGAGGGTGAGGTGGGTAGTCGAGGAGGGAAGTCACTCGGCGCGGTGGTGGTTTGGTGTGGTAGATTGGGGTGTGGTTGTTCGTGGCGGACGGCGCGGTCTGACCTTTTACCAGGTTCGCATCATTGGAGATTTTGATTTGAGGGGGATCGTGGTGGTGGAGCAAGGGGAAGCCGGGGGGGGAGGGGGAAGAGGGTAACTGGCGTAGGGTTCATTTTGGTAGGAGAATATCGAGGATATCAGGATGAAGATGATGGTAAATAGATATGGTAAAGTGAGTGGTTGGAAAGGTTACCAGTGGGATGAGATGAGAAAAAAAAGGACACTAGATCAGCAGGCACAAGGGATAATCATAAGGGGCGAAGACACTGTTCATTATCAGCATCATGAAAAGGTCGAGTCCATCATCTGGACTGTAAACAAAGGAGAGTATCAGACGCGATGGGAGGAAGGGAAGGGAAGATGAAGATGGAATGACGAAGCTCGAGCTGAGGGGGCGGAAGAAAGATTTCAGGCACTGGGCCTCCGGGCGCTAAGCCTGATTCGGGGCGGGGCAGTTCAAGCTCCGCCTTCAACTTGGCCGAGTCCCGCGGATCATCTTATGTATGATTATTATTGATTGAGTGTCATCTCCCCCTCTCCTCCTCCGCCTATACCAACATCTCATTGTCAATTTGGGGGCCGCAAACATTGCTCGCCTTTGGAACATACTTTAAACTGCGCTTGTTGTCTGCTACACGCTTCCTACATTCTACCCGATATTCGAACAACTGTTGCGACCGGTGCTGCTTGAGACCAGCTAGCGGCCAATCCCCTATCACCCACTCCCCATTTGCGACGATGGATTTCCTCAAATCGGCTGTCGCATCTGCCATCGCCAAAGGCAGCTCCTTTCCTTACTCCCTCGGAGACAGAGTTGATATTGCTGACTCCATTTGGGCTCTTCATAATGCTACGAAACGGGTATGAAGCTTCATGTACTTTCTCGTAGGGTCGCATTGACACTGAGAGCTAATGCGAAGCGTGCTGCCACAAATAGGACGACGGGTCGCCGTGTAGTGTGTTTACATTCGATATCGCCGCAAACAAGTCTCGGTTACCGCTCGCCAAAAATGCAGTGCGAAAGTCACGAACATTAAGACATCCCGGCGTGATCAAGGTTCTGGACACGATTGAGGTAATGCGCGGCTTTGCACATGGCACTTCCTGCTGAGGGCAACGACTCTAATCGATTGCAGACGGACGCCAATCTTTACATCGTTACCGAGCGTGTTGTACCTCTATCCTGGCACGTGAAGCGGAGAAGCCTGAGCGAGGAGACGGCCAAATGGGGGCTGTACGCCGTCGCAGTATGTGCTTGCTGTCCTGAATATAGATGACGACTGCCACATTGATTAACACTGGTCTCAGTCCACTCTGAATTTCATCAACGCCGATGCGTCGTCCGTCCATGGTGCCGTCAGAGCCTCGTCGGTGTTCACGAGTGAAAGTGGCGAGTGGAAGCTGGGAGGGTTTGACATTTTAAGTTCAATGAATGAGGAGGACGCCGTTATATACGTAAGACACTCTGCCAAAGTGCTGGACGTAGAGGAGTGCTGATCTCTTGAACAGACATATGCCAGTCTTCTACCGGACGCGGCTCGATACACACCTCCGGAAGTCGTGAAGGGGGGCTGGGATATCATCAAGCGCCACCCTCTCACAGCCATTGACTCATTCGGATTGGGAATACTAATCTATGAAGTCTTCAATGGCAGTTTCACAGGTGGTGACCAGGTGGGCAAGACGACCAACATACCACCTAGTATGCACCAGAGCTATAAACGGCTATGCACAGCCAACCCTAAGCTGCGGCTGAGTCCCGCTCATTTTGTCGAGCAGGGAAAAAAGAGCGGTGGATTTTTCCAGACGCCGCTCATCCGCTTATGCGACGATATAGAAAGTCTGGGCCTGAAAAACGATGTTGAGCGGGAAGAATTCGTGAAGTATGTCCCTGCTCCAAATCTACAAGAATCGAACTAATGCTAAGTGGTATAGTGAGCTCGATTCCCTGTCGGAGGACTTCCCTGAGGAGTTCTTTAAAATGAAGGTGCTTCCGGAACTTCTGAAGTCCGTCGAATTCGGCGGAGGCGGCCCGAAAGTGCTCAGTGCGGTTCTAAAGATCGGTTCTAAGCTGTCATCGGAGGAGTTCAACGCGAAGCTTACCCCAGTGATTGTTCGACTATTTGGCAACCCTGATCGGGCTCTGCGGGTCTGTCTGCTGGACCATCTACCGATGATGATTGATAATTTACCCCAAAGGGTTGTCAATGATAAAATCTTCCCTCAGATTGTAGGTCAATCGCCGCTTTGCTTGCTTGTCCCTGCTAACACTGCCATACTAGACCTCCGGCTTCACGGATGCGGCACCCGTGGTCCGCGAGCAGACAGTCAAGGCAGTCTTGCCAATTATCAACAAACTCAACGACCGCACTATCAATGGTGACTTATTGAAATATCTGGCGCGGACTGCGAATGATGAACAGCCCGGAATCCGTACCAATACAACTATCTGCTTGGGCAAAATAGCAAAGAATCTTGGACAGGGTGTAAGTGCGATTCGGAGCTATGCTGATTTCCTTTGCTGACAGTGGGCAGTCACGATCCAAAGTTCTCATCGCAGCTTTCTCAAGATCCCTTCGAGATCCGTTTGTACACGCGCGCAGTGCTGGTTTACTCGCGTTAGGCGCAACGATGGAATTCTTCTCGGAAGAGGATTGTGCGGGCAAAGTGCTGCCCGCCATTTGCCCTTCTTTACTGGATAAAGAAAAGTATGCGCTATTCTCATTAAAACATGCATAGGGCTGGGGCTAATGCAGTAACATTAGGATGGTGCGAGACCAGGCAAATAAGACCCTGGACCTTTACCTTCAGCGTATCCGAAAGTTTAGCAGCACCATGGCCGACACGGTGCTTCCATCCACAACCAGTCCCGGACCCGCCAAAGACACCGCTCGCATTGGAACAAGCAACGACAAATCGTGGGCGGGATGGGCCATTTCGTCTTTCACAAATAAGCTTACGGCGGCCAATGGCGAAATTGAGCCCACCGCGAATGTTGCCAAGCCTGCCGAGCCAGAGCCTGTGCGCTCTGCGTCAGTGCCTCGTCCGACTCGGTCATCGCCACTTGTCCCTAAGGATACAGCGCGCCCCGCGGGTCATTCCCTAAACCGATCCGTGTCTGAGCAGCCACCAATGGTGGCCAAGGAGGAAGAACCTGAGGATGTGTACGACGCTTGGGGCGCGGTAGACGATGAGGACGAGGGGAGTGCGCTTAAGGAAGAGGATCCGTTCGAAGTAGCCGCAAGCAGCACCCCTTCCGTACCGGCTCCAGCGCCCAAGGCAGCCGCAGTACCATACGATGATGGCGGGGAGCCGGACTTTGCAGGCTGGCTTGCGGCACAGTCGAAGGTCAAGAAGCCGTTGCCTAAGGGCTTGAACAAAACTAGCTCTGCGACTGTTTCACGTACATCGAGTCGTGGCAGTGTGGCTCAATCGAGGACGGCTGCACCTGCTAAGAAGATCGATACCAAACCCAAAGATGAGGATGAGGATGACGGATGGGGTGATGCATGGGATTGAGATTCCAAGAATTTTTTTCTATTGCACATAGGCATGGCGTTGGGAGCAGGACGGAGTAAACATATGGCTGTCTGGTCGCAACAAATAGTGCTGCGGATATCTCGATACCTTATTAGATCAGGATTTGAATATAATACTAGATATATCATTTATGTCCTATACTATAACTATACGGACAGGCATAAGACATAGCCTGTAGATATACTCAACATGAAACCACTATAGTGATCGACTTAATAGGGCGGAAGTCAGTCAGCGGGGAAGCCGCCCCGTGATTTGGCACTTCTCAGTGCATTCGCCGATCCTCCGCCCGCCGCCCGATGGATGATTCCCACTCAGCCTCCTTCTTCTCCCTCCCTCCCTCCCTCCTCTCCGAACTTCCTCCCCCTCCATCCCAGGATTTCCGGCATTTATTATTATCAGCTCTTCCTTCATATACCCTCAGGCGCGTCTTCGGTTCTTCTTTTTATTACATGTGAGTTGCCTGCCACTTGTATTGATCTTCCCCAGAGCCTGTGTGTAACTCGAACCACAACTGACGGCGTTCGCCGATGATGTACTAGTTAACAATCCTGCTGCCTTCCAGCGCCTCCGTTGTCCCTGCGTCCGTCTGGGCCGGTGGTATTCCATGTCATCTTGAGCGCAATGGATGACGATTGATGAGCCTGAAGGTTGATCTACCACTTTTGATGACTGCTCCCCCGCTTTGTCCTCTAGCATTTAATCGCTCCACGCCTTTGCCATGGATTCCGAGGAGGTTCCTCCTCCTCCGCCATACTCCGCGGTCGATCCAATGATCGCCCAAGCCAGCAATAGAAACGCTGCCGCATCTGCAGAAGTTAATCGCACTTTGCTCCGCCTGCGGGGGGGTGATGCAGCATCGTATGACCCACCCGCCAGCCCTGCGACGAGTCTCGCTGGGAGTGAGAGTACAGCGGCCTCCGCCTCGCTGCCCGCCCATTTTACCTCTGCAGCGGCTTACTTCGCCGAGAGAGTCGCTCCAACGCAGAATCCCGAGCGGCCGATCGCAGAACATTGCGTCACTATCTATCCACGGAGTCAGTCTAAAGACTTTCCCCGTCGTCCGCGGTGCTGGAATACGCGGACGGAGGACATCACCCAGCAGGACTGGGACATGTTCCTACGGTGTCTTTTCCCCCCACATCTCGGACTTGCGTCGTCGTCTTCCGAACTACCCCGTCAACTCAGAGCCGAAATCCAGCGCGATCGCAAGGATCGACCTCAGGAGAGCGACGCGGATCGCAAGCGGCGCATTTCCGCGGTGATCATGGAATGGAATCAATACTTCTTCGAACCACGGTCAGCCCGTGTGATGTATAATTACGTGATGGATCCTCAACGGACGCCACGATCGTCTCTGTGCCCTAAATGTTATCCGGCTGCAACAAGCCGCACCGGACAGGTTGCCTCGAATGCCGGTCGAACTCGTCAGCAGGAACCGAATGCGCCACCAACAACCCCAGGTCAGGTTGCCGCCGCTCCACCAAACGCTACACCTAGTCCTGGACCCTATGGTTTCCAGCCCTACCCGCCTCCTCCAGTGCCTGGACCCTATGCCGCCCCATATGGTCCTCCTACTTTTTACAACCCTCCCGGTATCCCTCCAGTCCAACCTCCTGTGTATCCTTACGCCGCTCCGCCTCCGCCTCCACCGGGACAGTATCCACTACCAAATACGTGGGGTTGGAATGCGCCCCCATATGGTTATACCGGTCAAATTCAGGGCCAATCAAAAGGCGGCCCTCTCGGGTGGATAGCATCACTGGCTTCCCAGGCCCAGAGATACGGTGAACGCATTACTGAACAAGCTGCGCAATATGGTGATCACATCAGCGCACAAGCCCAGCACTACGGTCGACAAGTCGAAGAACAGGCTATAGCTCATAGCCGCTGGTTGGAGGAGCAAGCTGGCCTCTCAGGACGGAAAATGGGCGACGCGTTCACTGGGTTCAGCGGTCGCCCGCAGAACGAGTGGGGTGCGAGCGAGCCCCCGAAGATCGGATACTATAACGCACCCTATACCCAACCCACCGCTGCCCCGACGGAGACTACAACGGGCATCATCGCAAACCAACAACCGGTCTCAACACCGCCGGATCGCACGCGGCGGGCATCCGTGAGCTCAGAAGCTTCGGATACCTCTTTCTCATCGATCGATACGTTTTCAACCACTTCCGAACTCAGCGCGTCCGATCTGGCTACCGTCCGCGCACAGCTGTTGTCACTGGATGACTATCATGACAGAGCTCTGTATGAGCAAGCCGTGGGCCTCCGCCGCCAACTCGATCTTTTGCAAGAATCACGACGGCAAAACCGCGTTTCGGGCCGAAGCCACTGGCGCCACGGCTGGGGCCGGTGGGAATCGCCACAACAGCAGCAGCGGAAACAGGCCGAGAAGCGCGCCGTGAAGGAGGAAACGCGGGCGACGCGCAAGGCCTTCCGGGATGTCGTACGGCGGGCCCGTGAGGAACAGCGGGAGAATCGACGGTTGAAGCGCAACCGTCGCCGCCAGGAGCAACGAGTGCGCCAGACGTCCGAGACTGCTTCGGATGCGGCATTGGAGCAGCGTCTTCAGACTCTCGAGTTGGAGAATAGCCTCGAGGCTCCGTCGACGGTCCAGTCGGCTGCATCGCTTTCGTCTCCGGTACGGTCTGCGGCCGAGACGGAAGCCAGTGAGATCAGCCCGGTTCGTGCACCGAGTACGGAGTCATCGCGCGATGTAGAGAAGAAAGAAGACAAGGTGATCCCGAAAGAGAAGTCTGAGAGTAGTGATAAGAAGCCCGCTTCGTCGGACAAGGGGACTGAGAAGTCAGCCGATGCAAAGAATGCAGATGAAGGGAAACGAGCTCCGTCGGGACGCAGATAGGGTGAGCATAAAACGAGGGCCTCAGCATAACGTAGTCGGGTTAGCGTCGTGTCGAATTAGCAAGCGGGATGGGATATGCATAGCAAGGTGTCGTCGGTCTGTCTTGTCTACTTGTGTATTGGGTTGAAAGTCGGAGGCATTCTTATGTGGAGTTGTGTTGTACTGTACATACAAGCATTTTGGCCGCAACGGTAACCGTTTTGGAGTTGTAACCTTCCAACCTTTGACTCTCTAAACAGTTTCTTTTTTTTTTTTTGGTAGATTCCAAGGAGATGGCAGCACTAGTTACTCGCCTGCGCCGCCTCATTCTTCTCGACCAGATCGCCGACCCCCAAGCCGCGGCCGACCTTGACGCGCACCATCTTCTCCTGATCCTTCTTGTCGCCGTCGTCGGCCTTGCCCAGCTCGCCGACAGGCTCGCCCTCATCGCCGTCCTTCTCCTCCTTGGCGGCGCGCTCGCGGTCCTCGCGCTCGATCTTGGCCCAGTCGACCCACATATCCGACAGATCCATGCGCATGGCGTAGGCGTCCTCGCCGTCGGCGTAGTACTTGCTCTCGACGGACTCGACCTGGAAGCCCAGGGTGTCGCGGTAGAGGCGCAGGGCGGCGGTGTTGGAGACGCGCACGTGCAGCGAGACGTATTGCGCGCGGTGGGACTCGGCCATTGCTCTTTCTGCCCACATACAAACAACATCCAGTCAACATTAAGCCATTTTCATTCCCCGTCCTTCAACTCATTCTCTTCTTTCGTCCGAAACCCACACCGATAGGATAGGGGAAGGGCTGGGAAACGTACGACTCATCCGCATCAACCGCTCCGCAATCCCCAGCCGGCGGTGCGTGCGCATCACGCTCAGCGAGGTGATGTGGCCGTGCGCGACCCCGTCCGTGGGCTCCTCCTCCATCTTGGCCAGCACGTAGCCGACGACCTTAGGGTAGCTGTCGCTGCCGCCATGCTTGCTGTAGCCGTTCTTGGGCCGCACCACCGCCACGAAGGACAGTTGCGGCCAGGTCAGCGCGTGGTACAGGTAGTACTTCAGGAAGTAGTTCTCGGGGAGGTTGGTGATGTTGCAGGTTTGGATGGAGGGGAGGAGGTCGATGTACGAGGGGTAGCTGCTTAGGGGGAGGATGTCGACCATTTTGTTCGGCGGGCGGGGGGGGTGAGATAGAAAAGAGAAGGTGGAGAGAGGGGGGAGGGTGAGTGGTGGCCCTGGTGGTTGGAGGGGTCAATTGATGTGAGGATGGGTGTGGGTGGGCGGAGATAATTTGACAGGTTAGATAACTGGTGATTGATGATGCTTGGTTTATTGTTAAGGCGGAGAGAGAGAGAGAGAGAGAGAGAGGGGAGATGCTCGGGTCAGGTGCGTGCTAGTCCTGTTTGGGGATAGTGTTTTTATCTCCCGGCTCCCTACCGTTCCTACTAGTTATGTATGTTTTCAGGTATGGTACTCCATATACCTACGGAGTGATTGTCGGTGATGTGACGGCGGAAAGACCATGACTTGTGTGTCGATCCATGTCAAGATGCGATGCCAGAGTATTTTGTAGAAAGCCAAGGGACAACCTCATGACACCGGAAACACTCTCCTGCCGATCATGAGAGTGAACATTGTCAAGCTCAAGACCCCAATGACAGTCGTGATCGGCCGATCTCTCGCATACTCCGTGATACTACTCACACTCGTAGAAAGACGGAAGGGAGCCGTGGTACACGGTTGATTAACCGAAGAGGGACGCTGCCGTAGATCGACCGAATCCAATGCTCGCCGGAGGCTGTGCGCGCTGCGGAATTCAACGTCCCAGCAGCCCTCGACGATCCAGTCGAGCCAAAGGCCCTCCGTGCTCGGCAGAGACTTCCTCTCCGGCCAATACGCTCTGCCGTCGGTGGGAGAGTTGTGCTTGAAAAGGTCGATCTCACACTTCGTGCCGGTCATGACTTCGTACAGGACCGTCCCCAGGAGGCCGACGTCGATTTGGGTGGTGTATCCATTGTCATCGGCGGTCTCCATATCGGACTCCAGTGGCAGGAGCGACGCCTCGGAGAAATCGCAGATTTTGACCGCCAGTTCGGTATCCAGGAGGAAATTGCGAGTGGCAATGTCCGCAACAAGCACCCGTTTGTCGTGGATGTAGCAAAGGGTGCGTGCCATGGCCCGAAACCAGGTGAGCTGAAGCTCCTGCGACGGCGGCGCCCGGCGCGTTTCGAGATAAGCCCGAAGGTCGCCATTAGCCATGTAAGCCAGTTGGGTGGACTCCGCTGAACACCCAAGACAATCGACGATGCCGCTAGAGGGGTCATCCGGATCGCTTTGCAAGCGACGATAGATACTTTGCTCGCGTCGGAGGCTGGAAAGGTTCACTTCCACGTCGGAGTCGGAGCTCCACAGATACCGTAACGGGATTTTGACGGCAGCGCCTTCTTGAAGCAGAACAACGGCCGAGCTTCCGCTTCCAAGAACCTGCTCTTGCGGGATTGGATCGCCTCGAGGATTAAGAAATGGGGAGGGCATCGCGACACGAAAGCGGGGAAGGACAGTGGGAACGAAGTACTCTATGCGGGGGGGAAATTTGACATAAGTTGGCCGAATGCCAGTCTACGGGATGCTTGAGGAAAATAGCAGTGCGTGGTTAACTTTAGAGAAGAACTAACGTCTATTTTGTACACACATCAAATTCAATTTAGGCATCAAATATCCCCGCAAACGAAGCGAACCAATGCCGGTAAAATCGAGCGTTCTTTCTCCTAGAGTAGTAACCTCCATTTCAATATGAAGAGCTTCATGCATTTGGACCCAACTTGACTAATTCAAGTATAGACCACGCACCTCGATGCCAAGTGGCAGCGAAAGCGCTTTCCTCGATTAGACACTCTATATCAAATGCAATAATTGGCAATCACCGCAGCATAGGAAGCATTCCTTAGTTACCTGACCATACATCCTCAAGTAGGCCTCCTCTACTTGTAGGCAGGCAGATGTGGGCGCATTTACTATTGAACTATATGCAAAAAAAAGCAAAAATTATTGATTCGGTTGCACTATATAATTCCACTAGTCATCATACAACGCTCATTTCTCGTGATCCATCAGAATAAACAAAAACTTATATAAGGTATATATACTCAAAAGCTAAAACATCCATCCCACCAATGACACCCCCACCACCACGAACAACGTCCCTAGCATGCTGGGCCCCGGCAGCACTATCGGGGCCGCTGAGGCCGTTCCACAGCATGTGCCGCTGTATGTGACGTTGTTCATCTCGGCAGCCACCGCGAACACGGACCCGTTGAAGTTGCCGTAGTTGTAGTAGTCGACTAGCAGGAAATTCGGTGGTCGGCCCCATGTATCTGTTATCATGCACACATCAGTATACGCTCTTCGCGGGCTGGATCCCCCCCCGAAAAAAACTCACCGGTGCAGTTCTCGGCCATCCGGCCCAAACTCGCGTAACCCGACACCGCGTTGGTCTGGTTCAGCATGGCCGTGTTGGGGATCAGCAGACTGATACTGCCGATGCTCACATCCAGGTTCAGGTTGTGGTTGGCCATGTACATCCGGTTCTTGGCGTCCTGGACCGACAAGTCCGGCGGGCGCTGCTCCGTGCAGGGGAACGCGGCGTCGGTGGGCGAGAACGGGGTCTCCCACATCTGCGAGAACTCATCCATGAGCCACGGGTAGGCGGTCTGGTTGGCCTGGTAGTCCATGAAGACTACCGCGCGTTTCCCGGACAGGATCATGTTCGACAGCGTCGGCCAATCGTCCAACGCCATGGGGATCTTCGGCGGCGTCCACACATAGTCCATCAGCCCCGAGTTCTGCACGGGGGCCGTGAAGTTGCCCGGGTCCACGTAGTCGTAGTTGCCGATCAGGATCGTAACCACGTCGTATGGGTGCGTCTTGATCCAGGTGGTCACGGTGGTCAGGTAGTCCTCCAGCGTGCCAACGTTGAGCATCTCGCAACTCGTGTGGCAGAGATAAAGGGTCCCGTTGATCAAGTGTGTCTGGAATTGCACTGTTGCGGAGGGTAACGCCTGTTAGTCCATGTTGCGCAACTCTCCGGGTCATTGACTTACGCATGCGGATGCCATCATTCAGCTGATCCGTCACCTTGTAGGCCTGGTTGGCCGCCGCGTTGCCCGGTTTGACAAACGGGCTGTTGTGCGCGGCGACCATGGTAATGTTGGAGTACTTGCGCGAGCAGAAGTCGGAGTAGCCATTGCAGGGCTGCGTGTTGACGACCGGGGTCGATGTTGCGGAGGTGGTGGAGGTGCTTGTCGCATTGGCTGTGCCATTCATGGTATGGTGGCCACCACCCACCAGCAGCGTCACAGAGTTCGAGCTAGTGCTCGAGCGCGAGCTTGTCATCGTGGCCGTTGCATTGCCCGAGGAGCTGGCATCGGTGAGGGTGCTGACCCCAACTCTGGTGCTAGTTCCGGTCGTGTGGTCGTTGGAGAGCGTGATCGTCGAGGTGTATGAGAGATAGTCACCTGTCGGGAGAGTCGCTTCGCTAATGGAGGTGGTGATCGATCCAGTCAGGACGAGGGCCCCATCCCCTGCTGAAGTGATCGTTGTGGCCTCATCTTTGGCATAGGAGGGTAGGATGCCGGCCAGCAGAAGGGGGAGCAGATGAGCGATCAACCGCATGATGCCGGAGTGGGCGGAAGAGCGGAAGTCGGAGGCGAGGGACGCAGCGCTGCGACTGAACGAATTGCCGTCTCAATGAATAAGTTAGCTGGTATCTAACTTTATATGATTATATATGAAGGGGGTATGTCTAAAAAATATAAGTGTAAAGAATGAAAGAAGAATGTCGGGTTGCACGAGAGATCAGGCGAGAGGGTAATGTGCCTGATGGGAAGAAAAGAATAATAACAATAATATCCCCCGATGATGAAAAAGGGTTAAGGGTAAAAGGGAGGGGAGAAAAGTGTAAGTATGTATTTTCAGGGAAATGTTGATACAGTCAGTAACCACCAGTAAGTTAACCGTGACCCGAAGGACAACCCCTGCCGCGGGCAATGGTACTCATTACTTGATTAGGCTGCAACCTTGCCCCCATTTCAACCAATGACGACATTTGCTTGCTTAACCTAAAACTTGCGCCACGCTGAACCTTTTTTTACTTTGGGCCCTTTTTCTCTGGTATTATGTAGGAGTAAGTATGAGTATCTCAAATACTGAATTCTGGTCTAGACCCTCTCAACACGGGACTTTCTTTTTTAAACTGCACAGTTGAGCTTGGTCTTTTATAGCTAGTCATGAATGAGATTTATTGTCCGTGATGGGGATCCCATGCCAACCCCATATCAACTCCTGAGAGTGTGGGCTGCATATCAAGATCTGCAAATCTAAGCGAAGCTCAAACAGCTTGGCGAAAATGCCGACGTGGTTGACACTCGGTCAATAGATTTTAGAGTTGAATGGCATGCACTGTTCAAGTGAGGACACATTGTATCGTATTCGGAAAAAAGAAGGCGATGCCAACAGCGATGTGCGATGCAGAGCTAAAATTAAACTGATAATCAACTAGTTGTATCGCACGGGTTCCATTTAGATTACAGGATGGAACACAACATCTTGATTGGGCTTGCTGGGCATTGGTTCGCTATCTCTATTTATCGAGACCAAAGTTGTCAATGATTTACCATCTCTGTTGTTCTGTTCTCTGAGACAAATACTTTTGCTCTGGAGCAATCACTCAAGTACCATAATTACTCCGTACTTCGTCAGCACTGAATAGACAAGATTCATGCAAGACGATCGGGGGATCGGCTCTGGTGAGCGCCCCGCATGGCTTTCTTGGCGGCAGCCAAGTGGGGCCACGCTACTGCCGCAAGTGACGTCGCAGGCGTCTAATCCACCCAATCGAGCTCCCGAAACTGTTCCAGGCAGATCAATTCATCGCTTATTCATCCCTGATAGGCAGGCCATCGCCAGTCTTCCAGGCCCTATCGAGATTGTTCATTGCAGTCAATGGATTCTATTCAACTGAGAAAAAAAATATCATCATCTACGATCATCATCTAGTTTCAATTGGGCCATCAAGTCCCCCTCCCCCCGCCTTCGAATGGCGCGCCCATGCTCATCACAAATTTACCACCTCTGAACCTCACCTCCTCTTATCCAAATCTCACCAGCCACTTTTGCTGAACCGTCCTTGAGGGTCTAGATCTTATCCTTTCCTTCTTGGGCGCCGCAGCCGTCATTACGTGCGACTAAACCGCCAGGCGGAGCTGTTACACCCCCATTACAGTCTCCATTGTGTCTCTCATTTTTCGACCTGATAATTTTACTTTTGTCCGATCTTTCTCCTGTTGTATCCCCTTTCCACCTCAGTCCACCTCAGTCCACCTCAGTCCACCTCAGTCCACCTCATCAGTCTCTGCCACTCTCTTCATCTTCTCCCTCTTTTCCACCCCTTTCCCCCTATAGACCTTATCATTGGATTTCTCACTTTCCACCCAAACTGTCAGGGTCTTTAGGTTTAGCAGAGGGTCATTTCTCCTAGCACGTGGTTCCTGGAGGTGTAACGTCATCATCCACTGTGGTCGGTTGGGTTTCTGGGACCTTGGGTGTATAGTATATACACCCACGCACTTTCCTGTGCCTCTGCAGCAGTTCTTCTCCAGCCCTGCATTTTCCGATTCTGCATCCACGCAACCACTCGTTCAGACCATCAGCCTCCTCTTTGATTTGCGCAGCTTGCTATCTGACCTCCCCCTGAACTCCTCGGGGCTTCCCTCCAACTCATCCGCCCTGATCCGAACTCGACAGTTGCGCCGATTTCCATGGCAAAGCTTCCTTCATTCAGCAAGTCCACCCAACGACCGCAAGCCGGTAGGACACGGTCCAAGGTACTCTGGCATCGCATCCTCCGCTCGCTGTGCTACCTGATTGCCTGGATCTTTTTGCTTCTGGTGGTAATTGGCAATGTCGCCGACAAACCCGTCATCCGCGAGACATATTTCCTCAAGATCGACCTGGCCAATATCATCCCACTCTCCGTCCCCAATGCCGTCCTGATCAACACCATCGCCCGGACCATCGGGTTGCACGACTTCTACCAAGTCGGCCTCTGGAATTTCTGCGAAGGCTACCTCGACGAGGGGATTACGAACTGCTCGAAGCCTAAGACTCTCTACTGGTTCAACCCCGTCGAGATCATCCTCAATGAGCTTCTCTCCGGCGCAACCAGTACGTTTCCTCCCCTAAATATATTACCAGCAGCTCAATCTAACTCGGAATAACAACAACCAGTTGCCCTTCCCTCCGATATCACCTCCGCCCTCAAGATCGCGCGGATTGCCTCGCACTGGATGTTCGGCCTCTTCCTGACGGCGACCGTCCTCACCTTCATCCTGATCTTCCTCTCGCCGCTGGCCGTCTCGTCGCGGCCCCCGCAGACCATCTCCGCCGACCCGACCATCAACCAAGCCCACCCGCAGCACCGCCGCCGCACCTTCGTCTTCCTGCGCGCCTTCCCCTTCCTCATTCTCACCTTCGTGACGGCGCTCTTCACCATCGTCGCCTCGGTGGTCGCGACGGTCATGTTCATCATCTTCCGCAACGTCTTCACCTCGTCCGACTACGACCTCAACATCGGCGCCTCCCTCGGCACCCGCATGCTGGCGTTCATGTGGATCGCCTCCGGGTTCAATCTCCTCGCCTTCATCCTGCAGCTGGGGTCCTGCTGCGCCTCGTGCTGTGGCGGCCGCAAGGCGAGGAAGCAGTTGAAGCGGGCGGATCGGGAGAAACACCACCCGGATGCGGCCCCGGCGTCGGCTTCTTCGTCCGAAGCGTCGAACGTGGAGAAGCGAGAGGGGTTGAGGATCTGATCTTTTTTTTTTTTTTTAGAGTTTATTCCGTCCTCTCAGTGGGGACTCTCTGGGGTTGAGGGTAAACAAAGCGAGTGCACCAATACCTTGTTCATCACAAAACCAAACCACCTGCACAATCCGACATCTTGCATCACCTATACATGCTCCCACCTATTCCCACCACCACATATACCCCTAGCAACGGGATTTCCAAGCCCCATCACCCCAATCCCCATACATACCTCTTATCAACCCTCAAACTGATCCGATTCAACACATACCATAGATCTAGGCAATTGGGAAAATTTGGGACGAAGAAAGGGACTTGTGTGATTCTAGACCGAACTTTGCCCCCCCCCCTAATTACTTCTTTTCCACTACATTTGAAATGCCAGAGGGAGGGGGGAAAACTTTCAATTGACGATCTTGACGACTTATGAAGGATATTTGCTAAGGATTTTTTGCTTGCATGAAATTATCATTTCCCTTTGAGTTTCTCCTTTTAGATTGATCATGTGCAGAAAATCTTGGTACTCGAAGCTGTGTCGCTCGCTGATGATGAGTTTATCTTTTGGCGATGTAGGCGGAAAGGGAAAGGAAATTGGGATAGAACAACAAAAGTTGGAAGCTCGGGCTATGCATGCGCGGCACTTTCCCCGCAATAGATCGCTAGTAAGCTTGTGTATCTGGATACTCATTAGATACTATGGAAGCGATGACAACTACTACTCGGACAACTGAACATAACACCAACAATGCAGCTATGCAACGGGCATACAGGGTATTTGGGTGCAGGTGGTTGTGAAAGTCAAGGAAGTGCTATGGTAAGCGGGGAACATAAAACTCCCGAGAGGATGAAAACTAAAATGACATGGATATCTTGCAGGAAGAAGTGACGATATCTGATCTCTTCAGGTATGGGTATCAAATTTTTCGCAAATGGAGAACAAAAGTCGAAGAAGGAATTACGTCAGATAGATGGGTCTGCATCAACAACCCTGTGCGAGCTCTTCCTCCATCATACGAGCCAAATCATCATCATCAGCATCGTGGTGATCGGAGGGTTCGATGCGACCGGCTGACGCAAGCCCGGAGGCGGATAGGTTGCGGATCCGTTCGGCGGCTTCCTCCCCCATTGTTTCCAGGGCCTGGGGCCCACCGCCATTGCCGCAAAAGCCTTGCCGTGAGCGGAGACTAGTACTGTGGCGGTCGACCGCGTCAGCGTCCGTCAGCCAAGCGTACTTTTTGCTGCGAAGGGATTGGAGCATCTCTGCTTGACGCTGCTTCTCCGCTGGGGTTGGGCTGGCCGTGTCCGGTGGATCGTCAGCAGTCAGGTCGATCGTCACCGGTTCGCGTTTGGGCGGGCTGGGAGCGATGGGGCGATGGAGAGATGCTGCGGGGTCGAGATTTGCAGAACGAGCTGGAATCACAGTAACACCGCCGGGTATTGGGGCAATGGCTTGCTGATTCGGTGCAGGCTGGATCTTTTGGGGAGGTTTGTACCCATTAGGAATCCCCGCGACCGCCGGCGTCTGCTTCTGTACCTGGATCTCATATAGCAGATTGTTATAGACAGTGCCAAGGTCATGAAGCTTGCTCTTCCATTCATCCGCCTCTTTTTTGTATCGTTCCACCCTGTTCTGATGCTGAGTGCAAACCCGTCGCAGCATAGCATTCTGTTCGCGGAGCAATTCGTAGTGCGTCTTTCCCGTTCGCCTGTCGATCGTGCTCATTTCCGTTATATGATCCAGTTTAGTCCTCAGCTTGTGTCGCTCCACTGAAAGCTGCTGCACCCGGTTTCTCAATGAGGTCAAGCGAAAGTTGGCCTTATCCTCTGCGACCTCGATATATTGGACATGAATGTTGGGAGCAGACGGCAGGTAGCCCAGAGGCCCGGCGTAAGTTGGATATGGTGATACGTAAGGTGGCTCTTCGTGCACCCGCTGTAGAATCTCCCGGCTTGTGCAGTCAATCAGATCTTGGTCGTCGATAGAGAACCGCTCTTTCGTGATCTCGCTGATTGATAGCGTATCCTCAGGGGCGATGTTAACATTAGGAGGTGCCTTGACTCTGGCCAGCTCCTGGCTTAGCTCACGAAAGTCAAAGTCAGGCAGTCCATCATAGGAAAGGTCCATGGGAACAGCAAAGGGTGAATCCTCAAACAATGAACCAAAAGCTTCGAACAAGGCCGCAGGCGTTGACTGCTGGTCAGGATCCGATGGCGTGTGAGGACCAGTTCCGGTTCGATCAGGCTGCAAGGCCGAGTCGAGAGAAGACAGTGACGGTGTTTTGTCTGGCGTTATGGTAATTTCATCCCGGATTGATTCAATAGCCTGCCTTTTCGAGGCCTGCTGCCAGAGGTCTGGTTCCTCAAATGCTTCCGCGCCAGCTCGCTTGCGTGAATCAAACGCGGCGTCAAGCTCATGAAACATCAGCTCAGAGTCGAACAAAGGATCGTACAAGTCCTCCGCTGTCTCCATGGATGGCGCAGTAGGCGAGTCATGAAGGTCCAGCTGGGGCGCAGTCGTTGCCGATGAGTCTTCAGACAGGCGCGATGTACTTTGCTCGCTTGTTGCGTGTTCAGTCCCTTCGTCTCTCAAGTCCGTTGTGGTATTCTTGGGTCGGTCCGTGGGTGTGGGCGCAATGTGCTGGTCGACTGAGGTGGATTTTGCTTCTTCAACGGACTGGCCGTGTTCTCCATTTCGGGCGGCATCGGGGAAGCGCTGCAGCTGGGACCCAGGGGAAGGTGTAAGCCCCGGATCATTCACATGCAGATGAGAAATACATGGGGGAGACGGAAGAACCTCGAGGGCAGAAAGCCTCTGAGAATCCGCAGGGCAGGTCTGGAGCGAGGTAGAAATACCTTCAGCCATGCTTCCACTCAGCTCAAGAGAGCTCTCAATAACGTTGATAGGGGGGAAAGCTAGGCAGCGAGAACTCTGATGACCAGGTTCTGCGCGCCTAGAAGACAGCCGTGAGATGCTGTTGTGGTGGTAGGGTAGCGTGGAAGTGCTGGTGATCTCGGGACTCAAAGTCCAAAAATGCCCGCCATCGATCGCGCAGTGGCTATTGAGAATGAAAATGAGAAACTTGTCCCTTTCAAGCGTCTGGTCACAAAGATAAAGACTGCAATCCGTACCTCCTTTAGGCGCCGAGTCACTATACGAACATTGACGGGATCGTAAGACGCATAGTAGTCCGGGCGAAAACTCGGAGTCTCGACGAGAAGTGTTCAGATCTTGTTGATCAGGCTGAGCCAGAGACTGACACTAGGCACGTAGCCTGCCAAATATCAGACAGGCGCCTAAGTCACTTTTGAAGTAAACAAACTGCGTGGGTTGCAGCTGTCGACGTTTGGATAGATGAGATGGAGAAGTTCAACGCCGCTTTTTTTGATCCCTTGCCTGTCTTACCGCCTTTACCACCGCTCAGTTGACCGCCCACGTGCCCGTCCTGACCTTGATGCAGCCTTAACATAGATCCGGCAGGAAGCCGAGCGGCTTCGGATGGCTGACTGACCTTCCATGTTCACCAGCTCCCGAGTCCTTGTCCCTCCATACTCTTTCCACCACCGTTCAGTTTTGTTCCTCCCTTTGCGCGTCTTGAAAATGAGCGTCATTCTTTGCACCGGTAAGCGATCAGACTTGCAATCTTTCAATAGACACGCTTTCTTCCATATAATCAACTAATCAATAATCCACAAATTTGCGACAATCAGCGGGTTACGACCACACTATTCGGTATGGACATGACGGTCACTGCATCTGAAGTAAGCGCTGTCGCTAACCACTTTCAGGTTCTGGGAGGCACTGTCCGGAATCTGTTCGCGCACAATTCAGCATCCAGATTCACAAGTGAACCGTCTCTGCATCACGCCAGACAAGCGGTTCCTGGCCGCTGCTGGACACAACAATGTCAAACTGTATGACATCAAGTCTACCAATCCCAATCCGGTCATGACCTTCGATGGCCACACGAATAACATCACGGGTGTCGCGTTTCATTGCGAGGGAAAGTGGATGGTCACCAGTTCCGAGGATGGCACAGTCAAAGTGTGGGACACGCGCACCGGCAGTCTGCAGCGCAACTACGCCCACAAAGCCCCGGTGAACGACGTGGTCATCCATCCCAACCAAGGCGAACTCATCAGTGGAGATCGCGCCGGTATCGTTCGTGTCTGGGATCTGGGAGAGAGTGTCTGCACCCACCAGCTGATCCCCGAAGACGACGTCGCCGTACATAGTGTGAGCGTCGCTAGCGACGGGTCCCTCCTTTGCGCAGGAAACAAGAAGGTACCCATTCAGCCCCCGTACACATACGGTTTCAGATTGGCAGCAGGCTCATAATTATAAATCCAGGGCAACGTCTACATCTGGCGCATGATTCAAGATGCCGAGCTCACCCGCATTGTCCCCATTTGCACTTTCCAAGCACACAAAGACTACCTTACCCGCGTCCTCCTCTCCCCGGACGTCAAACACCTAGCAACATGCTCAGCAGATCACACCGCCAAAGTATGGAATCTTGACCTCGATTACCCTCCCGCGAAGATGGCCGCCGCCAAAGCCAAAGCCCAGGCGCTTGCGGCACCCGAATCATCATCATCTCCGACATCGACACCCGACAGCCAAGACCCATTGTCCCCCAACAGCAATAAATCCGAGATCGAAATCAACCCTCTCAGTCTCTTTGACGGTACACCGCCAATTGTCAACAACGAGCCCCAGCAAACTTTCCCCGTCCAGCCAGACGGTCCTCCTATGGACCCCGCCACGGGCACTCTCTTCCTCGAAACTACGCTTGCGAACCACCAACGTTGGGTCTGGGACTGCGCCTTCTCCGCCGACTCTGCGTACCTTGTCACCGTATCTAGTGACCACTATGCGCGTCTGTGGGAGCTGGCATCGGGACAAATCATTCGACAATATAGTGGTCATCATCGCGGGGCGGTATGCGTGGCATTGAATGATTACTCCGAACCCCGGTAGATCTGCTTTTCGAATTCGAAGAATGGGAGAAACCGCGTTACAACGACCGATCTTCGCTATCCGTCCGCTTCGTGCTGTCGTTCGCATCTTTCCAGAGGCTTTGTGGGTTAGCATGGCGCTAGGTATCGATTTAACTGATTTGGCTCGGCTTGGGCTTGATTTGACTGTATTGTGGACGGGCGTCTGTTTTGCCTTCTATCATTTGGGAGTTTCCAGGAGCTATGTGCGCTTATCTCTAATTTTGGGATGTTGAGAGCAAGACCTTTCGATTCAAATACCACACGCGAGTTTATTCGATACTTGGGAGGGAAATCTGCTACATCTGTAAGAATATATCCTCAAAATTCAATTATTACAACAAGACCATGGTATCACTCTCCATTCTCTCAGCACAACAAGACACACGGCTCCAAAAAAAAAAAAAGAGAATTAACCTCGCAGTTCCAAGAAGAAGGTAAACCAGAACACAGTGCCAACCCCGCTACAATTGATATAACCAATCAACGCGCGATAGCTCTCGCTGGTAGATAACCAATATGACCTTTAAAATGTCACAATATATCAACTCGTGCAAGTCCTCCTCATCCACTCCTATATTGCAAGACTGGCGATTCAACCCAGTGCAAACCACGTCACACTAACAACAACGTCCAGGCCCCTCTCCTCGGCACCAGGGTATTTGAATGTCCACATCCCGTCCCGGTTGACGTCCCAGAAGGCGCCGGAGGCGGAGTGCATTCCGCGCTTTCCGGCATTGGCGGTGGTACCGTCCGCAGCGGCGGACTTGTCGATCAGGCCCTGTTGGACAATGGTGCTGTTCACGACGAAGCGGTAAGGGGGAGAAGACGAGGCGGTGGAGGGAGCCGTGGCGCTGATCAGGGCTTTGAGGATAGTGTTCTGGGGCGGGCCAGGTAGCAACATGGTTAGTCTTGGGTTTTGGCTGGTTGCGCGTTTCGCGCGGTGAATTTAGGGACCGAGAAGAAAGGCGGACATACAATAATGTGCGAGTTCCAGTCTGCGACCCGGGAGTGATCATATTCTGTTACATCCTTGAGGGCGAAATCGCAGGCCTGTGGAGGGTCTGCTGGTTAGTGTGTCGTCGCTTCTGTGCGCTCGGATGCAAGACGTAGGGAAAGGGGACAATTCAGAATTCGGCGACAGTGTGATGAAGGTCAATCGTAGTGGTATTTTCGCGGAGCCGGTTTCACTAATTCCAGCTGATGCTATCCGGGATGCATACCTCGGTGGCTATCTTGGTCAGTTCGGAAGTGGCCACGGGCTAGAAGTGAATTGTTAGCAGTGGATTCGTTTGCCGGTCTCGTGAGCAGATGATGACAGCCCGCCCCCTAAGATATTGAATGCATAAGGGGAAGTTGGAGACGTACAGAAGACGTGGGAACGGGTTCGACGGCCATTGTGATTAAGCAAGTTGATTGAACCGTTTACTGAAGGTAAATTTCGATGTCTTGATTAGCGTAGTTCAGAAGAGGGGAAAGCTAGAAGCTCCGCGGTGTCTTGTCTGGGTCGAGACGGTGGGCACGACCACGGGACGCTGGAGAGGTGATTGTGGGGTGGGTAAGTGAGGGACAGGGAAGCCAGGAATGTGGCTCCGAAAGACGGGGGGGGAGAACGTCAGACTCTCTGCCTCTCTGACAAACAGGAGGGGAAATAGGGCTGGCTCCGACTAACCAAATGCGAACTTCCAACTATTGCATGCAGGAGCACACGAAGAGATCTCGAAAATGAAAGAGTGAAGCAAGAGAATGAGAGAGATCCTTCCACGCTGTTGTTATCAGGAGGGTCGTTTGGATGTTTGGAAACATGCAACTTAGTTGAGGCGGCATCATAAGTGTGGCTTTGCGGACTGCTGGTTGGCTGTGTCTGACAGTCCGCTAGGCCGTAAAGAGACAAGGGAAAGAGCTGCTTACCCATTATGGAATAGTCCCGATACCACCGCCACAGTTACCGGGGCATTGATGATCCGAAGCAATGGAAGTGGCCAATGGAGACCTGAGGCTATCAATCACAGCAAACAGTTGGAGCACGTGCGCGCTATCTGGCGGTGGGCATGGGCAGAACAGAAGGGTGCGCCACCGCTACGGCCGCAACGGGGAAGGTGTCGGCCATCAAAGGCGCGGGGACCTCGTCCCAGGTTCGAATCACCGCCCGTCCTCTTAATACCGGTCTCATATTACATCAATGCCGTCGTCTTCTTCTTCCTCGCTCCAATCCATCTAGTAAAGAACTAGCCAGTGCTATCTTGGCCTAGCCCCTTCGTTTGGCCTCCTCGTGCGCCAAACTAGAAACCTCAATTGAAGCTCGGCTCTGCTTCTTTTTTTTTTCCCCCTCTTTCCTCTCCTCTTCTTTTTCTCATCTTTCACCCTTTGCTCAACCTCAGCATAGCTCCCATAGCCATCCTCCCTTGCGGGCTCAGACTACCAACAACACCTACCCAAGTCCTACCACACCCAAATCCCTGCCATTCCACACGATGTCGAGTCAGCCCCTCCTTCAAACCGCTCCTGGTCAGTGAAACATTTTCTTTTGATTCCAGCAGCCACCAATGCTATTTAGCTTCACTGTCCAGTGGCTAACGAAACCTCCAAAGGCAAGCGCATTGCCCTGCCCACCCGTGTCGAGCCTAAGGTGTTTTTCGCCAACGAGCGTACCTTCCTCTCCTGGCTCAACTTCACCGTCATCCTTGGTGGTTTAGCCGTCGGTCTCTTGAACTTCGGTGACCGCATCGGCCGCATCTCCGCAGGCCTGTTCACCGTCATCGCCATGGCAGCCATGATCTATGCCCTGGTGACCTTCCACTGGCGGGCGCAGAGTATACGTAAACGCGGCCAGAGTGGCATCGACGATCGGTTCGGACCGACCGTGCTGGCGCTGGCGCTTCTGGCCGCTGTGGTTGTGAACTTCATTCTGCGCATGACGGAATAAGAAGAGGGGTGTGTGACGAGAGGTTACTTGGATTTGTTATGACCTGGGGAGCATTGACGCGATGAGACGGCACTGTTCCAGAGTGCGAACCTGGATGGGTCCTTGGATGACTCAAAACAAAAACAAACTATGTGAATGACTTAAGTAGAAGGTAGATCTATTTTCGTTTTGTTCGATGTCGGTGCTGGTCACTGATTCTGTCTATGGCGTTGACAGTGTTGCTTTCCCAATTGATACATGCTGCTTTATGTTTTGTCTCTTTATGACTCCGGGATGAAATTGAGTCGTGGTTAGGTGACTGTTGGCGCGGCCTGGATTATCATTGATCTTAAAGCTTGTTTCGGGCAGCATTTCTACCTACGCTTTTGTCATATGCCGTACATGTTGGGCTCGAACATGGATCCGATTGACGAGACCCTGCAACTTGCATCACTCAGGCGCGATCGGGCGGGAATGTGGGATAAAAGCTGGAGTTGGTTGTTCTTATGTTTTCAATTTGTGATTAGTTCCGCTTCACTTTTGATCGTGCCTTATACCAAATATTACACAGTTTCAAGCTCGCTCTCGCGGCTTCTACAGTCATAGTCATACTCTTACTCAGTGTTTAGGCTTTCACCACAGTCATCAATGGCCACCAACCCCTATTTCAATCAATCTACTGCATTGTAATAACCTACTATAGCTTTCCACAGCAACCCGCGCATTCGTGTCAGGGCGGTTGGAGGTCCTCGTATGGATATGGGCCAATACCATGGTGTATCATCGAGTAAGACCGTGCCTCCAAGGCCGTCTGATGCATACAAGGTTCGTGTTGTGATGTACGTCGCCTGGCCAGTGCGGTGGGAGCTTAGAGCTGTCTGGACGGTGATTGGCCTTGCTTTACGTTAATTGGCACACGAGCCCTTCCCAGGATGACTTGGACAGATCCATGATAGCACTATCTCTATCTTGGCTAGAAGGGTGGAGGTAATGTCAACAATGATATGCATGAATAAGAGATGCGTTCTAGCCGCTGAAGTATAGGATGAGAGGATCATCCATCCGTGTGGCACATAGAATAGAATGTGCAATGGAAACTGATTCTTGGCTTCTCCAGTGAACCAGATTAGACAGTCGATTATCACTTAGTATCTCCCCTTTATGGGTCCATCTTCGCCTAGAGTCGTGGATACCCTCATGGAAGAATCAGGAATCAGTGCGAGATTGCCGGGATTGGGCAATGATGTGATAGTATCATTGAAAGGGATGATTGAGATGTTCTTTCTGATGCACAGGCTGCAAGACGAATCCCTAGAGTAAAAATGCAAGATGCCCTAGTGATAGTGGATTGTGGTTTGCGGGATTGTCTAGCTAATGCTGGCCGTAGGCATTGGCCGGGGTGCGGGGAAGAGAGAGAACTTAAGAGAGAGAGAACTACGTGTATGGAAGCAGCTAAGTCAAGAGTAGCTATACTTATGTCGTCGCGCAACTGATCATTGCACAGAGCATGGCAGTCACACGTGCATGGCTAGTATTTTGGTGTCAGGCTTGTTTGAGTGTCCCTGAACGGTGATAGGGGAGCTGTTCTTACAGCGACTTGGTTGTGAAAAGATGAAGGAGAGCTCCACTGCCCGTCTATCGCATATGTCACACACTGCGCGAGTCATGGCATGCTCCTACATTTATTAGCTTCCTGTGACGATTGCTAGCCTAGAGAGTTTGTCGCTTCTCCTCCTTGAGTAGCTCTCCTCTCCATTGCCACACGACGATTGCAGCTCAGGAGACTTTCTGGACAATATAAGTGCCCCCTCAAATGGCACTCGAGTTACTGGGCAGGGACAGGGAGAGAGATAAGTTAATTTTGAGGTGCAGTATGTATGGCCGACGATCTGGGTCTCAGAAAAAGGGACGCTACAACAAAAGTTGTAACACCACGGATTCTGACCATTGAACGTTATTCTAGAACACATCACAGAGCACACTAGAATGTCCACCAGTCGCGGAGGATTCGGAAGTGCAGCAACCCTCCAGTGATAGCGGCCCCAACACATGGGCAGCCAAGCACTAGGTTATGCCGACGCGATCATAGTGAACTCAATTGCGAACTATATTGGGCTAAAGTGGAGCACGGAGCAAAGGACGGCGCGGGTGACGACGAGAGTGGATGATGTAACGACACCGCACGGCGGGCAAACGCGACGATCAGGTCGATCTATCATACGAGGGGGAAGGAGGGGGGCGGGCGCAGATGGGCAGGAGACTTGACGGCGAGAGGAAAGACAATGACCATGTGTGACAAAGCTAATTCAGAATAGATGAGATCCGAATCCATGGAACAAGCAAATATGGCTCACTGATGGGCCTGTTGATGAGGGGTGCATGCGCTGCACTGTTGACATCGCGGTAAGCGAGTCTGGGGTGTGAAAAGAGAAGTATGAGAGACAGAGAGAGATAGAGACAGACGTACCGGTATGCTCCAAGAACCGGGTATCTGAGGTTACTATACGATACAGTGGTTGTACTCGTACTTTGTGGTAGGTCTTGCGGTAGGTAGCAGGCTAGCAGCAAGCCGCAGCAGCAGCAAAGCAAAGCAAAAGCAACAGCAACAGCAGCAACAGCATGGAACAGAGAGAGCAGCATCACTTCAACTGTTTCAGGAATAGTGGACAATTTAGCGCAGGCGGTACCCCGGCCATCCATGGACCAGTCCAGGCCCAGGATTCTTCGATTCAGGCTCCACTCGTCTGGTTTGAAAGTTCAGGCAGTCATGGATGATGATGGATGATTCGACCTGTATGGCAGACTCACCACAATCATCAACACAAGCAGCTTATCGCATGGAACAATAAGTCGAAATCGTGGGGACTTGCAGCTGGGCTGTAGGCTGCTAACGATCTCATAGGTTGATGGGGCGAGTTGAGCAATGGTACGGGGTACGGAGTACCAACAGAGTCAGTATCAGAGGATGTATCAGTAAATTCAGTAGTGGACGGAGTGCGCAGAGTAGAAAAGTGGACTCCCCACCCCAGAGTGAATTAAGGCGGTAAAACCCCCTCCCTCCTCTCTCAGACTCTCAGACTCCCAGTAAAAGTAGTGGACCGAGTAAGTAACTACCTAGTAGTGATGATGATGAAAGAGGAACCCCATTTCCCTCTCTTCTTTAGTCTTTTCTCTCCCCTCTTCTTCCCTTCTTTCTCTACCAGTGCCAGTACTCACTCTAAAATAAGTGAAGCATCAATCAATAGTAACTAACCTAACACTAACTTAAATCACTAACGAAACAACAACACATTCGCTCTCTTCTCCCCTTCCCCCTCCTCCTTCTCTCCTCTTTTTCTTACTCTTCTAGTCGTTTGTGTTCCTGTTCTTGCTGGTTATTTTTTTTTGTTGTTTATATCATCGCCTCCCTTGAACACCTCTGTGAATCCCTCGATTTCCGCCCTCTTCTCCCAGCTTCTTTGTTATTCCCTCGACTGCTCTCTCTCTCTCCACACCATTACTATCCATCCTCAACCAGCTTTCTTCATCATTGCCAAATAACCTTTCACGTTGCTTAAACCGGTTTGGTCCCTGGTCGGAAGACAATCTTCGCCTGGTCCACATTCATTGGACTCTGATTCCTCCCTCCCGTTTTAGGTTCCTGTTTACGGGCCATTATTCTTATTGCTCTGCATCCTTTCAAGGTGGAGGTGAATCCTGAATCGTGCTGTTGAAGGAGCTATTCTGGACTGGATTTTTTTTTGAATCCAAACGATCCTCTCCTTGTCCAGCTCTTTTCCTATCTTCTCTCACTTTCATCCTCTCCTACTCCCTTATCCCTCCCCGTCAACATCTTCTTCCTCTCTCTTTCTCTTCCCAAGGCTGCGCCCTCAACTTTTCTTCTACTATCCAGGCAACAAGCCAAAAAGAAGTGACCCAACCCACTGGACGCATCAACCTTGCTGCTTGTATCCCTCCACTCCCCATTATTAATAGATTACGCCACTGCCCACTGCCCACTGCCCGAGTGTCCGTGGAATTTGCCTCCCGAGCGTCAATCGCCGCGCGCCTGCTTCCAGGTTCCCTTTTCTGTCGCAGCCTGCCTGTTGCCTTCCCGTCTTACATGTGACCTCAACTGGGAAAAAAAAGAAGAGGAGGAAACAACAAAGTACGGATACGCTTCCCAACTCCGTATTCTTATTATTATATGATCATTATTATCCGTGTCATTATCATTCCCCGTTATCGTTCTTCGGCTTTATTCCCACCCATTCCCTATCACCACTAACTAACCTACCATCTCTTGCGCCCTACCTTACCTGACACTCTTCTTCTATTCTACCTACTTACCCTTATCACACCGACCACTTCTGCAACTACTATACCTACCTTACTACTGCCACTACTACTACTACTACTACTACTACTACTACTACTATCTAACTACCTCCCCACCCACCCACCCAACTACTCTAACCTACTGCAACTGCTATTGGAATATCCTCCTTGTCTGGGTCGATCACGCTATCAACAAATCAATTTGAACAATTTCCTCCCTTCCATCACTGCGTGCTGCATGTTTACTACCTACCCTTCGGAGCTTCCGGCATCTGTCTCTTTTTCGTTGGGGTAACCTTTTCCCTCCCTCTGACTCTTGCCCCGTGTTTCCTTCCCCCCCCCCCCCCCCTTGCTGGGTTTCATCCGGTCGCAAACGACCTGTCCGACCGATCGGCAGCGACACGCATTCCCTCGTTGAGCGCTTCGCTCTACTTCACTTTCTTCTCTCCTCTCCACATTTAGATCGGTCGCAGTTCGCATACACTGGTGTATGGTCTTTCAGCGGAGCATATAATCAATCCTTGATTCGTTCGTGCGCACTCTTCTCTCGTCTAACAAACCCTGGCGCATTTGTCGCAACGCAAGTCGCAAACCACAAGGACTTGCGACCACAACTCGCATGGCATGTTTCGGCTGCTACCCTGGTCCTCTGCAATTGGGGGAAACAAGGTGATGGCGGAGGAGCTGAAAATGCTTGCGACTCCGCCATGCCCTGCGCCTAGCGTCAGCGCCATCCCTCTGCCTCAGTTGAAGCGCAAGCGCTCAGATTCCACGGATATGACGCCTGATCAGGATGCTCCGGTCGCGACCAAGCTGCGCGCAGAGAACGCACCGTGCGGCTCTATCGCCGTCAAGCAGGATATCTCGTCAGCCGCCACCAACACGGATACTGTGTCATTCGAAGCGCCCAACAGTCTTCCGATAAATTCGCCGCCCGAGACGTCGCAGTCGTCGCCGCCCCCTCTCCCAAGTCAGGGCGCATCTGAACCTCCTGCGGTGACCAAGAACACCGGCTCACAGATGGTGGATGTGGACACGCTGCGTGAAACGCTTGAAGCCCAACTGAGCTTGGAGGTGTTGTTAAAGCACAACGAGCTTCGGTTGATCGACCAGGAAATCGCAAAGTGTCAGGTCGCGTTGGAGCAACTGCGCCGATGCGCAGAGATCCCTTACCCGGGTTCGAATGTGGCGGGCTATTCGCCAGCGGTCAGCAGCGGAACGGGCATGGCAGTGTGGGCTCCTGAAAATGGGCCTGCGCCATTGTCTCCAGCACCCTGGGGTGTCACTGACGGCCCGTACACTCGCCATTTTGCAAGATGGCTAATCCCAGATCCTCGTTTTGATGGCGGTGAGCCTGAACCTGCTACGCCTCTGACTGGCGGCCATGCTAGTCCATGGACTGAAGGACGCTCGACTCGTGGAAGCTGTGGGGATCTGGGGTACGTTGCGAGTAAGACGCGACCGCAACGAGGCACAGGTGGGAGACTGCAGTCTCTACCCAACGGCTATCCGCAACCAAAGGACAAGACTGGGCCAATGCTCATCCGACGAAAATCGGATAATCTACTCGTCAAGCTGGTGTGTCTGGATTGTCGCCGGGACAATTTCTCTAGCACGCAGGGATTCATCAATCATTGCCGTATCGCGCACAGCCGAAACTATGCAAGCCATGAAGCGGCGGCAGTTGAGTCGGGCGAACCTGTGGAAGTGGACGAGGCTGGCGCAGTAATAGGTGGCAAAATCGAAACTTCCAGCCCGGCCACAGCTGGTTTCATTCATCCGTTGATTCGGTCGGCGCATGTCATTGAGCCGCTTCCCAAGACGCCTACACCTGTATCCGACGCCACTGTGACTCCTCGGAAACGATTGAGCCCTGTTCGACAGACTACCTCCGGAGTGGAGACGCCTCGAGCATCTAGCGCTGACCAAAATACAACGCCCGCTACGGAAGGCAACGGTCCATTCATGTCTTCCCCCGCGACTCCTCATTTGTCGAATCTGATGAAGCTTCGGGGCGTTGCGGTTGACCTAGATCAACTGGTCGGAGATGCCAAGACTGTGGTAGACTTGAATGACTATTCCGATGATGACGATGGCGAGTCAGACGCCGGGTCCGTGCAACCTTCGGCTGAGATGAGTCAGGATCAGACACCGCTGGGAGCCCGTGCGGGCAGGCAACCGATGCGCACGACAGCCTCGCAGGCGACAAGCCGGCGCCCCGGTAGCCGAAAGGGACTGGATTCCCTGGATCACAGGCCTCCACCCCTGCAAACCTCAACACCCACCCGGCCTACTGATTACCAGTCGCCGTATCCTTCCATGTCTTGTCTTCCCCAGGGCTCGCAGAGTGGAGCTCTGCGAGAACTGGAAGGGACAGAACAAGCCTCGAATCTCAGTCCGAACACAGCCGAGTCAAATCAAGCCCCGAGTCTCGTGAGTGATGACGATGATTACGGGGATGTATCGGATTCGGATCCGGGGCCTACTTCGTCTGAAGCAGGCGATCATGACGAAGACCTGGGCCATATTGATGTCGAAGATGGCGACGAGAATAGCGCGCGGTCGGCTGCTGCGACTCCGGCGAAGTCAGATATAGGGATGGCAAGCACGGGGACACCCCGGGCACCACCATTATCGAAGTCGCTGCGGCGTGGCAGTATCAAAAAGAAAGACCGACTTATGGCGCCATCAGTGGTTCCATCACGCGGCAAGGAAGAGAAGCGGGTGAGCTTTGTTAACCCCGACTCGAAACCTGCCAAGGGTGATCCAAAGGAGAGTCCGGATGATACACGATAGAACTTCGCTTCATTTCGGGGCTAGACCCTCTGCCTTTTGTAATTCTGCTGTTATATTTCTCCTCTTAACCTTTCATGTATCAGACTTCGGTTCAGTGGATAAATTGTGTGAATGAAGAAATTACGGGATGGATTTTGGACAATTTTGTGCAGAAGTGCAGTGAGATGTTGATGGGAGACGGACTCTTACAGCTTATGATTAGACAACGAAGCCATCAATATGCAATACTCAACGGAAATTCTCCTCTGTAGCTCATTTGGTTACTTGGATTGGAAGTGAAGTATTAGATCCATGATGTATGTATGTGAGACGCAGCGAAGGGAAGATCGTTACCTAAGCATATTCTCCACGTCTGTATCGGTGCTAGCCGTACCACCACTGTGAAGCTTTAAACAACATGAGTAGGATTGTAGACTTTTATTGTGCCAACTTAATCCGAATTACAACCACCATCACAATGGCCACCCATAAAACCTATGACCCCGACCACATCACGAAGGAAACCTTGCAATCCCTTCTAGCGAGATACCCATCCACCGTGGAATCCACCACGCGGCGCAAAGCCACCACCACCACCACCACCACCACCACCACCGAGAAGAAATCCGCCGCCAGCAGCAGGAGCAGCAGCAGCAGACCCAAAAGCAAATCCGCATCCAAGGATCATACTTCGACCCTCACCGTAACAGAGGACCCCGACGATGCGCCGGCAGCCGTTAAAACCTACCTCGCCCTCGACGAGTTCCGCTACACGACCCTCCCAGATGCAGTCCGTCAACGCGCCTCGACCACTACCGGGGGTGATGGGGAAGGGAGTGCGTATCTCGAGAAGGAGGAATTGGTGCGTTTGGTCGAGTGGAAGATGTACGTTTCTCCCCCCCCCCCTTAACTTACTACCTAATGCCTTGCTCGATCCATCACGTTTTCCTTACTTCTCTACTTTATACGATCGGGGCTATCCGAGCATAACATATCAACTACCCCCCACCATCAGCTATACTCCATACCATAGCATAACTAAGAGAATGGTCCCAAAGGAAACACGGGAAATTCCGCCCCGCATTACTGGGAATGATCCGCTCGAATCCCGAAAGTCTGGTGCGGGAGGCTACGGCGGAGGCATTTCGATTGCTGCGCACTGTAGAACTGCGGGAGATGTTCCCGGGGACGGCGTTGGAGAAGGTGACGGGCCCGTTGAGGGGGGTTGGGCCTGCGACGGGGAGTTTGGTGTTGTCGGTTTTGTCGTCGGATGATGATGGTGAGGGTGAGGTTGGGGGTGGGGGTATTGGGGTGCCGTTTTATAGTGATGATGTGTTTCTGTGGTTGTGTTTGGGGGTTTTCCCTGGGGGCGATCCGGAAAGGGTGGGGAAGGCGTTCAAGCCCGGGAAGAGCGGGGAGTTGAATGTTAAGTATAGTGCTGGGGAGTATCGTGAGTTGTGGGATGCGGTGCGGAGGTTGAGGGGGAGGCTGGGGGTGGGAGTTGGGTGTCTGGAGATTGAGAAGGTGGCGTTTGTGGTGAGGTTTGGAATTGGGGGTGAGGATGGGATCGAGGGGGTGGTGGTGGAGGAGGAGAAGGAGGAGGAGAAGGGGGAGAAGGGGGAGAAGGAGGGAATTGATCTTCAAGACATCCGGGGGAAGAGGAAGCGTGGGAAGATTGAAGAGGAGGAGGAGAAGGTGGAGAGGGAGCAAAAGGAGCAAAAGATTGGTGTGAGGAGAAGTAGCAGAAGGAGAGGAGCAAAGGAGCAATAACGTTAGCAATGATTCAAGTTTAGGATGGTGTATGCATCTGCCTTCCAAGTTCATATCTGCTCCTCCTGCTCTGCTTCCATACTCCATACTTCGCCATTCAACCCCTCAGCTGTGCCTCACCTCACACACAATCACTCTGGCTTCCAAGCCACGGCATGAGATTCCATCAATCATCACAATCAGATTATGACATGAACCACCCAAGTTGAAAATGTGGCTGCCGTCTTGCAAAGAGGTACAGTACAGCGTACGCTGCATGAAGCCGTTCAGCTGATGCAATCTGAAGGGGAAAAAAAAGTACAGTACAGTATAGCAGCACTTCTACAAACTTCTGTCCCTTTAGATAAAAGATTTATCCGCAGTACTAACTATCTATCTGCCTGCTCAGCCTGCCGACGGATGTTCTTGTACAAACCATGGGTACGACGACAGCTGGAACTTTGACAACGAGAATTTCCGCGTGGTTCTCCACGACCTAAACAATCTAGCGTCGCCCCAAGTGGGTTTAAGGGAATCTTGTTTACGTGGGTTCTGAACTGCTGGGGACTATCAGTGGAACACAAGCCAACGAACGACGACCGCTAATGGGGCCGATTCGGTTCAAACCGACGTTAACTCGTCAGTCGCTTTGCAATCCATGATCGACCGCGTCATGCTGTGTCCACTTGGATTAGGATGGCTCACCTCAACCCTACAAGATGATTTTCTCCGCTGCTGTGCACGAAATGCATTCTCCTCCTGTTCTTCTATCTCAGGTCATTCTATCTCCGACCATAGATGGCCGCACTGCTGGTTTTCTGGGGCTTCCTGCCCTTACTGGCAACGGCCTTCTCATGGCACGGCCTCTGGTATGAACTGGGGTTGTTCGGCCCGCATCCCACGCTGAGCTATGAGTCGGTCGGCATGAAGTCCCCCGAGGTTCATGTGAAACAATGGCATCCCGATTGTGAAGAAGGCTATGTCTTTCTCAGCCCGCGTGGTCATAGCTATCCCGAACCGGGACCCTTAGTCTACGACCACCGGGGGAATTTAGTCTGGATGGAGCGCGCATTCGGGGAGGTCATGGACTTGAAGGTACAGCAGTACCAGGGCCAGGATTATCTCACTTTCTGGGCTGGCGAGTATGATGGCACCCGAGGCATGGGACAGTACTACATGGTGGGCCTTGCCGCACGATGCTCATATGTGATTGCCAGCTGAACTAACCATCTCACGCTCGAATAGCTCAATTCCTCCTACGACGTTGTCCACATTGTCTCAGCCGCCAACGGCCATCAAGGCGACCTGCACGAGTTCAAAATTACCGACCAAGGCACCGCGATCCTGACCATCTACGAAATCTGCCAGGCGGATCTGAGCGCAGTCGGCGGGCTTGAAGACGGCTGGATCTACGACAGCCTGTTCCAGGAGATCGATATTGAGACAGGCGAGCTTCTTTTCGAGTGGCGCGCACGCGATCACTATGCCATCGACGAATCATACCTCCCCCTCGGCGACAAGGGTTCCTCGCCTTCCCCACAGGTTGCGTACGATTACTTTCATATCGATAGTATCGACAAGCATCCCAGGGACGGAAGCTACCTCATATCGTCCCGCTACATGCACACTGTCACCTGCATCAGTTCGACTGGGGAAATCCTGTGGGTGCTGGGTGGGAAGCGCAACACTTTCCGGGATATCTCATCCGATGGCTCGGCCACGGGGTTCACCTGGCAGCACGACGCGCGCTGGCACTCGGACAATGTACTCACCCTGCTCGACAACGCCGCCTACGAGAACGGGTACACCTGCGACCATTCCCGGGGTCTCATGATCCGCCTGGATTTTGCCGACTGGACAGCCGACACCCTCCATGTTTATGACAGCCCGGGCCGCTTCAGCAGCCACTCGCAGGGCAGCCTGCAAGTTCTCCCGCGAACCGGAAATGTGTTTGTTGGCTGGGGGAAATCCTCCGCATACACCGAGTTCAGCACCGACGGCGACCTCCTCTGCGACTTCCATTGGGGCCCCCGGGTCTTCTTCTGGCTTGGGTGGACGAAGTCGTACCGTGCGCAGAAATCCCACTGGATAGGGCGACCGCGCAATCCGCCAGACGTCGAGGTAGATGAGACGGCGCACACGGCGTATGTGAGTTGGAACGGGGCAACGGATGTGGCAGGCTGGGTCTTGCAGCGGGCCAGCAATGGCAGCGCCCCGGAGGAGGAGTTCGAGAGCGTCCAGTACGAGCCGAAGGAGGGATTCGAGACGACCGTCGAACTCGTGGGGGATGGTTACTTTCGGCTGGTGGCGGTGGATTTCGAGGGTCATCACATGGGGGCGACGAGGGTGTTCGAGGCGTTTGAGACATGGGTATTTGTTGCTTCCCGCTTTCCTTCCCGTGGCCTGGGATGCTGACCACGAGAATCACAGAACACCGCCGAAACCATCCGCTCGTCACTCTCCATCTTCTCCGAGGGGGTCTTCCAATGGACTCTGGTGGGAATCTGTGCCACGGGAGCCTTGTCGACAGCCGTGTGGACCGGGCGAAGACGAATACAGGAGACGTTCCGCTCATTTTATGGGGGGGCAAAGTCTTACTGGGGCGTCATGAAGTATGAACTTGCATTTTGAATTTCCGCATCAATCCGATACCCATTCTATATCTGTTTAATGATCAAAAACACCAGAGAGCATTGCGCAGATTAGACATAACATAACATAATATCACAGGTTCTTTCATAGTTAGTACATACAGATCCATCATCCTTGAGGTCGTACACCAACACAACAGCAGTATTACATCCCAGGTACACTCCCAACAATCAGCACCCATAGCTTCGACAGCCCAATTCATCCGGTCTTAGAACCCCCACACCCCCAAAACCACCGCCGCAACCCCCAACCCCAGCTCCAATCCAGCACCGGCCGCCGCCCCGGAAGACTCGAGCGCCGTGGCCGTGGCGGACGCGGCGGTCGTTTTGGCCGCGGCGGTGGTGGGCGCGCTCGTCTTGGTCGCCGACGAGGTCTTGGTCACCTTGGTGGAGGTCGAGTATAGCAGCGAGTTGGCCTGCGCCGCGTTGCAGTAGGGCACTTGTTGCTGGGTGACGGTGTAGCGGCCCGGGTCGGAGGGGCAGTCGTTGTAGCAGCTTTAGGCAGAGAGAGAGAGAGAAAGGGTTAGCTTTGTGGGGAGAGTAGGTAGTAGAGAGTGTAGGGCTGGCTATTCTCTTGGTTTGGGATTGCGGTATGGCGTATAGGTCTTGGCGGGTGGCGGGTGGTGGGTGTGCTGATAGATGTATGTATCCAGCACCCGACCCCATCCACCACACACACACCCTGATCAACCAGAAGCATCAAAGATACAAAGGCGATCAAAGCCGGGAACAGGGAAAGGGGGAGCAATGGAAAGGGGTGATGCATACGTCAACACGTTCTGACTCTGCGTACACAGACAATCCCAGTCGTTCTGCGCGCAGGCGTCCATCTGCGGTTGGAGCTGTTTCAGGCAGGCGTCCAGGATACTATGTCCCTCATGTCAGTCAGTTAGCTGTCTAGGTAGCTCTCTGAGCCTTGGTAGTCTATGTGCCCGTTCTTGGAGGCGAGAGCTTAGGGAGGTGCATACCTCTTCGCGCACTGCGCTGTGTCCCCCGCGCTGGCTGCTGTTGTTGCTGCCGGCGCAGCAGCGGCAGCGGCAGCAGCAGCAGCATTCGGTGATGCGGCGACGAGGGAGGCGGAGGTCAGGAGGATGGGGAGAAGGGTTTGGAGGTGCATTTTTGCTTTTGCCTTTCTTTTTCTTTTCTTTCTGTCTATGAAGGTCGGGTTGGTGGGTCAAAAAGTCTTGGAAAGAGGAGAGGGGATCTGGAAGAGAGGATGGATGGCAGCTAAGTAGCTGGATTTATAGAGCAGCAGTGGTCCTCCTCCGAAGAGAGTGGAAGGGGGAATCAACAGGAGAAAAGAAAAGACATGGGATCATTGATATATCATACCAATATGTTGAAATCGATCCCTGCTCTAACCTCATCCCGATCGTGTTTGTCCAGTGGGTGTGGAATTGGAATTGGAATTGAGTTGACCGAAAGAAGCAGAGACGAATCAATCATCATACCGGTATGCTCACAGTCTCTCCGGAAAACCCTCCAGGCTGGCCTCATGCATCAAACTATCACCGCCACAAAGCACCTCGTTCGGGGTTCTGTGCCAATCAGGTGGCCCTGGTCCGGGATGGAATTATTGATCGAGAGTTGCATGAAGATTTCCCTCCTCTACCGGAGTAGGCCATTGCCTAAGTTACCAGTACAAAAGTCTAGGGTTGGGGCACGTCCCGACCGCTAGCTCAGTCCCTGCATGGGCAAGGTGGTGGGAGATACAGCTGGATCAGGTTGGATTGATATGAGAGGTCAGATGGAGGGAGATGAGCTCGGAGAAGAAGGTTTGAGGGTCTCGGATAGTTGATTACTTTCTCTGTGTTGGTGGAGTTGATCATTGACTTGTAACGCTACTTCGAATACGGCTCGGGTGGTTGTCTTTGTCTATTGATTATTGACTTTGATTGAATAGCACGGTAGTTATGTGACTTGCCGAGTTGTTGGATGCCACCGTATGGAGCATGCCGGACAACCCTCACTCAATGTTGCTGGAAAATCTGACCCATCGTATAACTCTCTCTGGCCGCGGATGGACTGGTTATCTTCGACCACGAACTACCGGTCAGTCTTGTCTGGAGTATATGCTCCGCAACGAGACGAGCGTCACCACATGAAAAGGAGATAGACAGCCGCTGTTGGTTCAATTCACAGGGCAAGTGGATGTTTGCACGGGAATACAATCAACTCAATCTATCTTGTTGACCGTACTTGGACGTGCTCACAAAACACCACGAAGCTAACCACGCCTGATCCATGTGGAATCGGCATGCAAGGATAAACTAGCCACCACCCAATCTACCCACCCAACATCTAAAACTAGATTTCATGTTTGATGGCACACGAAAACAATCCATTGAAACGGTAGTACAGATGGAAGTTAAAGATGCGATTCAGACGACATTTGTTGATACATGTTCGCAACACCAGAAGGAAAAACATGGGGAAGAAAAACAGACGCAAAAAAAGGTTTATATGTCCTGTACAGTACAATCCCAGTCAAGGGCAGGCAAACCGAGATCAAAAAGAAATTCCGTAGCGCCGCCAATTCTTCATTTCCGCTTCTTTGACTCCTCTTTCCGATCATTTGCCGCCCCCGGCTTGCGGATTGGAAGATCTTGCTGTGTAAGGGGCTGATAAAGAATTTGTCCCTTCCTAGCAAGTTTTAACCTCCGCTGCTGACCGGCCTCTCCGGCTCGTCCCAGGACACCAGCAATGAGGCCGACGGCACGCAGACTGTCATCGTTCGAGGGGATCGGGTAGGTGACGCGGGTGGGGTCCGCATCCGTGTCGATGATGCCGATGGTGGGGACGTTGTTGAGGCCACACTCGTGCAGAAGAACCGTGTTCTCCAGGGGGTTCAGGCAGACCACCAAGTCCGGCTTGAGCGAGGGCCGGGAGTTGGCCACCTCCTTGAACGTCGGCAGCTCTTCGTCGTACATGTTCACCACCTTCACCTCGCAGTGGCCCAGGATGACACTGCCGTTGGTCAAGCTGCCGGGGATCCATCGCTCAAAGAGGTGGTAGCCCTGGGCCCGCTCGGCGGCCCGGACCACCATCAGCTTCTGGCCCTTCCGGGTGCCGGCGAACAGGATCAATCCGCCGCGGGCGGCGACCTCCTCGACGACCTTGGCCGCACGTCGTAGATACGCGGCGGTCACGTCCAGGGAGATGATGTGAATTCCCTCGCGAATACCGTGGATGTAGGGGGAGTTTTGCGGGTTCCAGCGGGAGGTTGAGTGTCCGAGGTGTGTCTGATTGGCGAGGAGCATTTCGAGAGTGAGGTCGGCGGGTTGAGGGGGGTTGAAGAGGAGCTGGTCGGGATTGTATTTGCCTTCCAGAGTGGTTCCCATTTGGCGGAAGTCGGCCTCTGTTCAAGATAAGACGAGCACCTTATGTTAGTGTTGCCGTCCGGACTCGTGTACATGGGGGGGTCACCAAGTTGTTTGGGTGTACTGACTGCGCTGCAGACCCTTGTCCCAGGCCTCCTTTTCAGGAGTCAATGCATATGCTGCCGGCGACCCAGGCTCCGAGGGGATTCCAACTGGAGTGGCAGTCACCCGGGGGGCTTGCTGCGCCGGAGTGTCGACAATCGTCTCGACAATCGTCTCGACAATCGTCTCGGTGGAGGAGAATCGGGCCCAGACGCGCGATGGGCAGTTGAGCGCACCGAGCTGGCGGCCTGCAAGACAGAGAGAGAGCGTCAGTAATCAGGATACAAAGTTCAATAGAGCCGAGATAGCAGACAAGAACTCACTTTGCCGCAAACAATGCCGGACAATCATGGTGTACTATACAGAGCAGTCTTGTTCCCTTCCGCAGTGTTGAAGGGGAATCTTCCGCTCGAACTTTTGATCGGGCTTGGCCGCACAGTTCTGCCCCAGGCACCCAGGACCATGCGCTAATCCGCTTCCGGACAAGCCTGGTTGCCTCAGGGCGACAATGCATGATCCATCCGATGTATGAAGTATGAAGCATTTGCCTCACAACTTCTTTCCCTCCATATCATGGAGGGCTATTTCATCAACGTCGATCCCATACAACCCTTCTCAGGCATACTGGGTCTACATGGACATCCAGTCGAACAAGAGAGCCTATCTTCCTCTGACAGCCCGAAAAGAGCACTGTCCCGGACAGGAATAGACACTGCTAGACGGACTGGTGGCTTCAGCAGGAACCGAGTGACAGACTGGAGGGATCAGAACAAAGGACGCTTGATGGTAAAACAATCACTTGCGATGCTAAGACCATAGGATTATATTCAGGAACCGGGACTATCAGTTCCAGCAATCTAGTCAATAAAGGACACTCTCCTTTATCTTGCTGCAGTCAAAGAGCTCACACATAAAGACATTGTGATTCTAAGAATACTCGGACAATCTAGATATAAATATGCCACGCTTTGCAAGTTCGCATTCCCAGGCGGGAAAACATAGATTCATTCTTCTTATAATTCGATCAACCTGTGTACTGCACGCTCTCTTCATATACCGCCCATACAACATCAACCATCCCCCCAGTCCAAACCTGCGCACAAGATGATCCAACCCGGGGAGATCTCGCTATACCCAGGGGGCTGCACCCCCGAAGGCGGACGCCCGCTCGGCTGCTTGTATGACCGCCAGTGCCAGATCACGTACCAAGTAGGCGCGAGGGAGACGCCCTGCACGACGATGTTCTACCTGCTTGGGCCCAGGGACTTGCCTCTGGAGGAGGTCCCCTGGGCCCGCATGGAAGAACTGCTCAAGTACATCTTCCTGCAGGCGCGGCGCGAGAACCCGGACTCGGCCCCCATCGCCGGGGAGCTCAGCACCGGGGAATGGTGTCGGTTCTATCGCGAGGTCCTCCCCACGGACGGCGCAGACCACCGGGTGCGTGGCATCTACCAGCACAAACTCGGGGGGAAGGCGACCTTCCATGAGGAGGAGGATGAGGCCCTGATCGAGCTGCTGGCGAGCATCACCCATTCCGGTTTCCCGTACGTAGAGACGTTGCTGGGTCTGCACGAGATCCTCGCCAGACACGGGCAGGGTGCGGTGAGGGTTCCGGGCCGTGCTGAGAGACGCAGGATTGAGAGGCGCTGGGAACACCGAAGCATGGCAACGTAAATGCACCCACCCATTCATTCCCTGTGTGTCAGATGCCAACGAGCCAAATGCAAGTCCCTCTGACTTGCTGGGACAGCTCATCATCGCATGACTCAGTAAGCCCAGGGTGGCCAATGGGTGCTGTAGTTCATTCTCACCTGTCCTCCCGGGAATGCATGAAATCTAAAGGCGGGGTTGGGTATGTCGGGACTCGGGTCTCGTAGGGACGCTCACCCCGCCATCGCACACCCCTCTTTTGAGCGTCGGCATCTAGGTTTCTTGGAATTCATATGACATTCATGACAACATTTCATATCTTGCAGTTACAACTACATTCCTTCTCAAGCAAATCCTTGTAATTGCGGGGTCCGAAGACAGCATGATTCTTCGTAGCATAGCCACTAATAAGTAAATTATGCTGGCAGACCCAGCATCGGTATCAAGTTTCAAGTCCAATCCCTAGTTTCAATACTTCAGGGAGATAATTCAGAGAAAAGCAGAGCAATCTTAAGCGCAAGAAACGGTTGTTGGAAGAAAAGACTAGAATTCATTTCCCATACCCCGGCCGGCCGTAACATAAAGGAAAGGGCAACAAGTAAATAAAAAGACTCAGTCATGTAGAATGAAGCAGCAAGGTCATGAGATCAAGAACGGTCCAAGGTGAGGAGGAGCCGTCTATTTCTTGAAGAAGCTGCCGAACTGGTCCATCATGCTAGCACCGCCACCGTGGTGAGAGCCGGGAGGAGGAGGGCCACCGGGACCACCGTGGGGAGGGTAGCCGTACTGCTGCTGCTCCTCCTCCTTGTGTCTGTGCTTCTTGATGGCGTCTTCAGCGATACTTCCGATGATGGCACCACCGATGGTTCCGAGGATCCCGTGATCCGCCTTGTGACCGGCAAAGCCTCCCGCCAGACCACCGGCGAGGGCACCACCGAGGCCACGTTCACCGTCCTGCGCGCCACCAGGGGCACCCTGCTGGTTGTACCTGGGAAAAAAAGAAAAGAACATGTCAGTTCACCATGGTACTTTGGTTATAGAGGGGAAGTCGATGAGGGTGAGCTTACTCTCCACGCTGGTCCTGACCATACTGCTGCTGCTGACCGTGCTGGCCGTACTGTTGCTGCTGGCCGTACTGGCTCTCACCACCATACTGAGACTGCTGTCCGCTGGAGCCATAGTAGTCGTTGGCAGAGCCACCCTGGCTACCGTGCTGGCTGTGCTGGTTGTATTGGTCGTAGCCACCCTGCTGTCCGTAGCCCTGCTGCTGAGGATAGCCACCACCCTGTTGGTAGCCACCCTGCTGGTAACCACCCTGCTGGTGGCCGTAGTAGCCGCCCTGGCCCTGGTTGTACTGATCGTAGCCGGACATGTTGTCGGTGTGTGTGAGATGAAGAGGGGTAATTCGATGTGGATATGTGATGTAAGTGTTGTTGTTATCTGACTTGTAAGTCGGAGGAAGGAGAGAGAGTGGGATAGTATGATGAAAGACGGATGATGGGAACGAGGGGCACCTTAGGTTTTTATAGTGGGAGATTTGGCCACTTGATAAGCTGATCTGGCACTACGGGCACTACAGGGCTGAGCAGGCGCAGTCGGATCCTTCTGGCCTTCCTGGCCCTTCTGTGAATTGCTGGGGACGAGCCCCACCATGAATTCACTGTTTCCCTCTTCTCCGTTCATGCCAAGCCCTGCGAGATTTACTAGGCAAAACATGCCAATCTTACAAGTACCTCTCCGTATGACTGAGCCACACTGCGGTCATTAAAGAAACCATGCGGGACAGTATCGGCCCCGATTCCTTGCCCCCAGCCCCAGCCTTGGACATGATTACCTGGCTGGGTTCAGTAGGCGTCGTCTATGAGATATCTGATATGTGAAAATTGTTCTGAGTTTACTGAATAGCGGTGACCCGTACGGATGACTCCCCCGCCACGATGAGGTGCGGGTGGCTGTGCACTCTTGCAGCCATGTGTTTCTTGGATGGACGCAGGGCTGAGACCGATCACCAATGCTAAGTGAGGTACTCCTGACAGTGCCGCAATATCCAGGGCATCTATAGATTCTTCCTCAACCTCCCAGTGTGTGACTTTCTGAGTCCCATGCTACCTAACGTACACAATGATATACTCACTGGTACCAGTACAGTACATTGATGCGCCACTGGGGCAACGATCATCCTTGGTCTCAATATGCAGCCATCCGATTTCGACGGAAAACCCACCTTACACATCTTGGCTGGTAAGACTGGTAACGTCGTGCACATTCAGGCATCGACTCCTGCATAAGTTACTTCATACCGAAGTCACTGTGGCGCAGGGTGTACAGTACTTGGCACAGCCTCAACGGGTAATGGCGTGATGCCGATAGCCCGAGCCTGTAATGCCAAGACTACGATTCATGGGGCTCGGGATGAGCTCTTCAATCTACGAATACGGATAGTCTATTGCAGTTCCGGATCCTCGGGTAGATGAAATTGAAAGTGCTCTTGCAATAGGTTTTGAGCTTGCCGAGCTCCGCAAGAACCCCCTAAGTAGAAAATTAACAATGTCGATGTCCTATTTTTACTGACAGGGGTTCAAGTGTGCATCCCGTCGGAGACACCGTCGTCCAGTACGGCACGTAACAGGCAGACATGTTTCTGCATACACTAGCGGAAATTTTGGTCTGACATCTTCCGCTGAGATATACGTAACCGGGGGGGGGGGCAGTGAATACGTGCGGAAAGTGGAGGAAACAGTCCCACGTAGACCACTCAGATGCTGGAAAGCCCATTGTGGCTGGTTTCCTTCGGATCTCAACCTCTTTAGACCGTGGAAATTGGGGCTTAGAGCCGAGCAGGTGAACAGGAGAGAGATCCTCAGCTGGAAGATGCAAGAGAGAGGATATAGGTACTCTAAGCGATCACAAGCCTTGTGGAAGGTGCTTCTAGAACAATATCGCCTGCTGATCAATCACGTCCTCCCCTTTTCGGTGACCTGGATGGATTGGGGGCCGTGCTGTCGGCTCAGTATCCGAGGCAACTGCAGTGCAAACTGACATCGACAACGCATTTGGCCCTTCCACGGTCACATCCCATCCTTTCTTTTGAGGGGGAGGGGTACCTCCAATCCACCTACAGTGGCTTGGTCTCGGATGAACCGTTGATATCTCCCCGGTCAAAGAGAGGAACAACTGCCCAGGCTACAGTACTAACGTAGTCTATGGACCCAAGACTTGGACCCAATCCAACACAACACAAGCGGTATTTATCGGAGCGGGGAGCCCATCCCAAGGAACTGCCTCTCAGCCCGAGCTTGTTCATAGTGTCTACCTGTCCGAGTCAACTTGAAAGCTTAATTATTCCCTCACAGGCTCATGCAGAGCAGCAGGAGTTTGCATGGTACGTCCGTCCGCGGAGAGCGGGGAGAGTGCACGGCACTTCACGAGAAGCTACCTGTACATACAAACCTACAGCAGGTATAAGTAGATCTGCAGCCCCTCGATGATGATGATGCCGCCTCAGGACTTGCCTTGCATGTGGCACACCACAAACGATGTTCTCAATCTCCACGGATAGCACCAGTCAGCAGTGCAAGGCAGAATGCAAGGGTCATGACTTCTTGATAGCTGCGTTGCAAGATCCTGCTCATCAAGCTTTTCCTTCCAAAGCATATCCCCCCGACTAAAGATAACTGCTACGGTGTATCCACATCTCAGCCTCCTACAAAGTTCCGTGACAGAGCCCTCACGGTCCTCACACTCATGGCTCGAAAAAAAAAAAGCAGAATCAAAACAGCAGGCCAGCTCACATCATCCGACTGAGGGACAAACTCACCGCAGATCGACCTTTTTTTTAAGGTTATGAATTCTGCCCCGAGAAACCCTCAGCTGGGCTCCATGGATCGTCGCCTGACCGACCGGACGTCCCAATCAACGTCAAAGCTTCCATGTTGCACGAGATCGAGAGGGCCCATCTCAGTGGACTCTTTATCTCGAGTAACAGATGATTTTTCCAGTCTACTGGTCACGAAAAATTCGCTCATAGCAGCAAAGAATAGGCTCAGCAGCCGTGTTGCGTTATGCAGCAGCCTGGTCGCCTGCTGCCCTGCTGCCCTCCCCCCATCCCTCCCCATATGCATTGCGTCGATCGATAGTGTGTTTTATGATCGACCATCCCTCAGCTTGCTTGCTTGCTCCATTTTTAAATCTCCACGCGTACCCTCCTCACCTGGTTGAATACTCGGCCGACGTATATATAGATCCCGAGGCCCTGACGACTCTCCCGAACGTCGTGATGCGCAAGCGGACATACTCTCTCCCTCGATGAGAAGACACCATAGATTCGAGATATAAAAGCACTAGAAATGACCCGGTAGCTGTGATCACAGCTATCACCTGTCACACACTATATATATCAAGATGATCGCCTCTCAGCTTAGCAATATTCTATACCTTCTCACCGCATCCACTCTGACCCTGGGTGCCTCCATCCCATCATCCCAACCGACGAAGCCAACGGTGTACCTGATCCGTCATGGGGAGAAGCCCCCGGATCCCAGCGACAGCGGTCTGAACGCCGACGGCTTCAAGCGCGCAGAATGTCTCCGTTCCGTCTTTGGCGCCGACTCGCCGTATGATATCGGATATCTAATGGCACCACACATCAACTCTCGTAAGGAACCTCCAGACATCAGCCCTTGCCCAATCTCCCTCTTTTGGATTGCCTTTTGATCGCAAAGCGTTGACACTGACACCAATACTACATAGTCGGCCAACATCGTCGCTCCTACGAAACCGTCCTCCCCCTCGCCCACGACCTCTCTCTGCCGATCGACACCTCCTGCAAGCGCAATGACGCGAAGTGCGTGGCGCGAAAGATCCGTCACTATCGGGGCCCCGGCAATATCCTGATTTCATGGCGGCATGGAAAGATGGCGAATATCGTCAGCGCCTTGGGCTCGGATGACCCACCTGTTTATCCCGAGGAGCGGTGAGTACTCTCCCTCGTATACTATCTAGAATGGGAAAAGAATAGTTGCGCCTCGTGACGTTCAGGTGTGGATGGTGGCTGATATTTTGAGGGCTTGATTAGGTTCGATTTGATTTGGACTATTCCTTGGCCGTTTGATAACATTACCTCGATTGAGAGTGAGAATTGTGTTGGTTTAGATGATAAGGGATTCGACCCGGCATTCCTGGAGCTTTAGAGGCTGGTAGTGTCGAGGTAATCGGCTCCTGTTGGATACTAGGCCCATTGCGGGGTGGATATATATCAGTGATGTAGATTCGAGATGTATGACCGAGTAACATCGGAGTAATAGGTTCACAGAGATGATATAACTGAAATATATGACGGATACCGTCTTGGATCACAGCCTGAGGGTTCATTCTGCATTTGTCGTCATTTATTGATTGATTTTATTGCTGTGTAGTTTAACAGCGCCGATCAGATCACATCTTAGTCCAGATCATGTAATAGAGTAGGAGGGCACGTGGACCATACTTCCAGTGACATCCCGGACTTAACGTTACCAGTTGACGGGGATAAGGCCGACTGACTCCGTACTGGAATAATTCTCTTGTGTGCGCAGGTGGTGAAGGCGGTGAACAGCCGAGCGGAGAAGGAGCAATGCCAAGATTTCAACCTGCTCACCCAATTTTTTCATGGTATCGCGGCTTTCGTTACCTTGACCCCGAGCGTTGCCCATTAGACCCATCAACCTCCAATTCCGGCCCTGGTATTTGCTTCTCGAGTTCTTTTGTGTTCTTGGACAGGCCTGCTGGTTTTTTTTTCTTTTTTGTCTCTTGCAGAAATGGATGACATCGAGGTGTGTTGCCCCGTGCACTGCACTGCACTGCTGTGTGCCTGATTCTGAGATTGACATTTTTTTTTTCTTCTCATCAGGAACGGCTGCGAGACCACGCCCAGGCCTTCGATGGTCTGTTGTCGCTAATCCCGGCAAAGAACTACTATGGTGAAGATGGCAGTGTACGTTCTCACCTTGGTTTCTCCTTTTCTGCTCAAAGGAAAAAAAACCCCTCCTGTCCTCCGTCTCCTCTCCTACTCTCTTCTCCCTTGCCCCCACTCCCCAGCACCATCCAGCCGCTGCTCAAGGACGTGGCTGACCGCAATCCCTTGATTAGGACCAATGGCAGCGGAAAAAGCAGACCAAGGAGCAAGCTCGCGAAGCCAAGCGGGCCAAGTTGGACCCCGATAATGTCAAGACGGCCAAGGATGTGATGGACGAGAAGGCACGTAAGCGCAAGCGCAACGAAGAGCAAGCTGGAGAAGACGCCGCGTCTGAGGACGGAGAACTTGGCTCCGAGCAGCCCAGAGAAGGTCTGAAACGTGGTGACGCCAAGTCCAAGAAGCAAAAACAGACCGAAGACTCGGCAAACCCGGATGCCCAGGCCAAGTCGGACGAGGCCGCCGAAGCGCGCAGAAAATTGAAGGAAGAGAAGAAGGCACAGAAGAAGGCCAACCAAAAGGAGAAGAAGAAGGTCAAGGATGCTGCCAGGAAGGCGAAGGAGGTTGAGCAAAAATCTAAGCAGGACCAAACACCTACCGCCGAGATTGCGCAAGAATCAGAGTCCGCCCCTGCCAGCAAAAATGATGACAACGAAGTTGAGGCTGAGGACAGCGATGAGAGCGACGCTGCCGAGGGCGTTGTTCCCGAGGAGGGACTTTCACTCGAGTTCAACGTAGAACCCGAGTCCTCTTCTGCATCGACTCCCAATTCCTCTGGCTTTGATGCGTCCAATCCCCAGTCCGGCAGCTCCTCCATCTCCTCCGTCGCCCCCTCGACCGATGCCCCCAAGTCCTCCACCTCCAACGACCTCAAGCCCCTCAAGGCCACTTCCGAACAGTTGAAACAGCGGCTTCAGAAGCGTCTGGACGAGCTTCGGGCTGCTCGTCACGCCGATGGATTGAATGGCAAGCCCGCCCGCAACCGCCAAGAGCTCATCGAGGCGCGCCGACAAAAAGCCGAGCAGCGCAAAGCGCACAAGAAGGAGCTGCGTCAGAAGGCCCGCGAGGAGGAACAACGGCTGAAGGACGAGGCCATGGCCCGCCGCTTCTCTCCCGGCGGATCCGGCTCCCTTCTCGCTTCTCCTCGCTCCCCTGCAGACTCGGTTGGCTCTTCCAGCAACGCCAACTACTCCTTTGGTCGGGTCGTCTTCGGCGACGGCCAGCACGCCGATCCCACTCTCCAGAACGTCCGCGATCAGCCCAAGCGGCAGGGTGCTCACCACGACCCAGCCGCCGCCCTCAAAGCTGTCGAAGCCAAGAAGGCCCGGCTGGCCTCCATGGATGATGAGCGGCGGGCCGATATCGAGGAGAAGGACATGTGGCTGAACGCAAAGAAGCGTGCCCACGGCGAGCGGGTCCGCGACGATACCTCGCTGCTGAAGAAGGCCCTCAAGCGCAAGGAGACGGCCAAGAAGAAGTCCGAACGCGAGTGGCGGGAGCGAATCGACGCCGTCAAGCACGGCAAGGACATGCGCCAGCAGAAGCGCGAGGAGAACCTCCGCAAGCGCCGCGAGGAGAAGGGAGGCAACAAGGGCAAGAAGAAGCCCGCCGCTGGCGGAGGCAAGAAGAAGGCCAGACCGGGCTTCGAAGGTAGCTTCAAGGCCAAGGCTGGTGGTGGCGGTGGGAAGAAGAAATAAGTGAACTGGACTTAGGTAGTCCTCAGCTCAGCTTCGCCTTTGCCCTTCCTTCTCCGGCCCTCCCATCTTCTTACCATTTCCATTTCCCTCTCGCCCTCCCACCTTTACTATCCTCCATACCCTGACTGAGCGGTGATTCTCCCCGGTGATGATCCGTCGTCGTTCCTTCCTCAGTATGTAATACCATCTACCTTCCACCCTACCCTACCCACCACCACTACGCGATACCTTACCTACTCCTTCGATCTCTCGAATACAAACAGGAGACGGGAGGAGCAAGGACGAATCATCATCATCATCATCATCATCATCAAAAACCTAAAGAGAGAGACAAAGCAGAGAGATGGGTGTGCTTTCTTTACCTCTTTTTTTTTTTTTACCAAAAAAGTTATCTTAAAAAGGGAGTGGGTTGTGTGTTGTTGAGTGCGGGTCATCATTTGGAGATATGGTGTTCGGGGAGTTCATTAACATTTTCAACTCTGGGGGGATTTTTTTTACTCATTTACTCATTTCTTTGTTCATTCTTGTCCTCCAAAGTTATGTGCATATGTGCATAGGCAGCGTTTCCTATACTTCTTCGAAACACATTTGTTGATACAAATTTGATACAATCTGGTTTCCCATTCAGGAATGACTGACTGATCCTCCTCTGTATGGCTTCTTTCTTCTGTCTAGAACAAAGTAAAAGAATACTTCTTCGATTTGAAAATCCCTAGGAAAAAAAAAGAACCTGAAACAGCAGTGTAGGTAAACAGACACATATAATCGAGACATGCAGATAAGATAAATATCCTTCGACATCGGAGACACACAATAGCAGACAAGACCAGAGAGTACCAGAGCCAGGATATTTCCGGGCAACTGCAGAGGACACCCCTCTGGGAGTGAGCCCGACAAATACAGGTGAGAAATCGGGTTGGGGTAGGGTTGCGAGCGTTAGTTTATGTACAAGGTGGGTAGTGGAAGGCTAGAGCGGCCGAGTCAACCCGCCGTGAGGAGAGACCACCCTACCCTTCCACTTTCTCAATAATTTGAAAACAACATTCCCTTTTCTTCTTAGTGCTTGAACCTCCCGAGCATTCCGACAAATGGGAGCGCATACTCTCGTCAAGATTCAACTCCTCATGTCGGAAGATGCTGGCTTAAAATCGTCTTCTAACACCAAAAGCGGCTTAACGGTAAGGAGCATCGGCTCTGGCGGCAGCGGCAATCTCCGGCTCCCACTTGTCACCATTGGCAAGGAGCTTCTCCTTGTTGTACAGCAGCTCCTCACGGGTCTCAGTGGCGTATTCAGCGTTGGAGGCTGCAAGTGAAGGTCAGTCAGTCACGCGTCCCAACGGTTAGATCCAAGAGTGACTGAGAAGGGCAAACTCACTCTCAACGATAGCGTCAACAGGGCAACTCTCCTGGCAGTAGCCACAGTAGATGCACTTGGTCATATCGATATCATAACGGGTCGTCCGACGGCTTCCGTCCTCACGCTCCTCGGCTTCGATGGTGATGGCCTGGGCCGGGCAGATGGCCTCACAGAGCTTGCAGGCAATGCAGCGCTCCTCACCGGTGGGGTAGCGACGCAGGGCGTGCTCACCGCGGAAACGAGGGGAGATGGGACCCTTCTCGAATGGGTACATGATGGTGTAACTGTCGAGGTTTCTTCGCGTTAGCGGATGGTTCGGGTCCAGGAGGGGGAGCTCCCGCAGAGGGAGGAGCAACAGCTCAATTGACGTCAAAGTCGTGGTATGATGGGAGGATATGATCGGGCTTGAGTGGCCAAACCGTCGAGGTTCGGCCTAGCGGGGAAGCTTGCGAAGGCAGGGTGGCACCTACGGAGGTCTGAAGAACTGCTCCAGCACGACGTACATGCCGCGCATCAGCTCGGCCATGAGGAAGTACTTGGTGGCCTTGTCGAGGGCAGACTCAGTGGACTGGTCCCATTTCTGCGGAGGAGGCAAGCGGAAGCCCGGTTGGGGAGGACCAGCCGGCGTAGCTGCGCGGGCGACTGAGGAGGAGAAGTTTGCGATGGAGCCGATGGGGGTAGGACGGAGAGCGAAAGGCGATGGGCGGGAATAGGCCAGAAGCCTGGCGACAGACTTGGTGGAGGCCATGGCGAGTAGGAATTATCCTTTGGGGGGGGGAGGGGGAGGGGAGAGGAGGAGTCTGGAATTGAAGGAGGGAGGTTCAAATGTGGTCAGTGGTCACCGTGCCTTTCCCAGCAAGAGTTCCAGTCAGTCAGTCAGTTTTGGTTCAGTTTGCACTCTTCCAAAATGAATTGGGCTTAGGTCATGGCTTTCTCCTTCCCGTTGATTGGCCGGCGGCAGGATTTTGCTGCTCCGAGCCGCAACAGAAACCATCGACTTATTCAGTCTCCATCTCAACCCAGCCCAGAGTTCACTCACTCCCTCCTCCATCTGCTATTCCTATCACTTTCATTCAACCTCTTCTCCATTCTCCCTCCCCCCCCACCCCCACACTTCTTTCCTCCTAATTATTCCCATTCGGGTACTCTCACATAACTCACCATGTTCCGCTCCGCTGTCGTCCGCTCCCTCCGGGCCTCTGTCCCTCGTGCCGTCAAGACTTCGGCTCCCTTCCAGATCCGTAGCTCTGCTGTCGCTCGCCCGGCTCAATTCGCTCCTCGCTTCGCCTACCAGGGTGTCCGTCTCTACTCCGCTCCTGCCGGTCTCAACAAGGAGGAGGTCGAGGGCCGCATTGTCAACCTGTTGAAGAACTTCGACAAGGTGCGTCAAGTCACATTCCAAAGCGGCAGATGCAGGTCCATCAGCTTGTTGTTTCGCATCGCCGAGATTTATCAAACTGGCATGAACTGACGTATCTTGATTCAATGCGCTTTAGGTTTCCGACGCCAGCAAGGTTCGTGATTCGAGTCGATACCCGCTGGGCTCCGGCTTCCGGCGAAAATCCCTCGGTAAAAGGTCCATGTTTTTAACGATATATAACCTGGTAGATCAACGCCGCTTCTCACTTCACGAACGATCTCGGTCTGGACAGCTTGGATACCGTTGAGGTTGTCATGGCCATCGAGGAGGTACGGCTTGCCCTATCTAGTTCGCCTCGATCGCGCGCTTACTGACATGCCTGCAGGAATTCAGCATTGAGATCCCCGACAAGGAGGCCGACTCCATCCACAGCGGTAAGTCACTACAAAAATCGAAGAGAATTCCCCGGAATCGAGAACTGATCGCCTTCCGCTACAGTCGACAAGGCTGTTGAGTACATCCTTGCCCAGCCCGATGGTGAGTTACCCCTCTTATTATTATTATCGCAGAGCTTACGACTGACATGTCTGCAGCTCACTAAATACCCGCGTAATGAGGAACCGGGAAGTTGTTGGAGGATTAGAATAGAAGAAATCGAAAGGGGATGATGGCGTGCATCTACAGGAAACTCGCCACTGCGGAGACTCCGGGTAGCTGGGGATGCTACCCTGTATGCTGATACATGCCTCTGCTCTTTCATACTCTACTATATCGTGTATATCACCTTTGGGAATGCCGTTCTGACCGATACGATACTTTGTTGGGTCTTCGTCGCGTAGCGCGTGTAAATGATCTCAGGATCGCCCTCAATCTTGAGTCGAGCGAGAAGTGAAAAGTTGTCATTGAACCAGGCTCAAAGCTGTATATGACGAGCGAAAACCACCGAGAGCTGTAGATCGTCGAGAAAAAAGACAGATTAGAGTCATTCTCCATATTGAGAGGTAATTTTAATCTGATATGATGCGATCCGGGGAGATGACGTGGAGTGACGGGGGGGGGGGGGGCGATATTGAGAATGTCGAAGGAGACCGACACGGTGGACGTGCTAGTTGTCTTCGCAAGGCAGATCTTATAGCTGGACAGGTCTTTATTCTGAAACTGCAATGTGTCATATCACCAATTGAATGTGTATAAGTGCCAAGGTCATTGTTAAGGAAGTAAAGACAGGCCGATTGTCCAAAGCGTTGCGGGCAATTCCGTCACCGGAGGAGCAACACTAAAAGCAGCCGCGACAAGAGCTAATGGCCGGACACCACGAAGCGCCAGATAGTCTTTAAGAAAGTACCCAGTGAAATTGAGATAATTGAGATAATTAATTGAGCACTCTTTCTGTCAGACGGACAACTGAGGATTTTGTCTACTTTCCTTTCTTTTTTCTCTTCTCGCATTGCTGGGAAATCATCCATCTCCAACGAAAGTAATTGTTGAGTGGTGCTTTTTGGCTCTTGGCCGATTGACTCCTTTATTCGGCCATTTGCACCTCTCTCAGCTCTCTCTCTCTCTCTCTGGGTGTCAATCCGATCTTCTCTTCCACTCACTCCACTCCACCCTTC